TTAGTTGCCATATTAAATTTAGGGCATAAAACATAGGACATTTAAGACTGAGAGTGTTTTTATCATTTAGCTACTCCCTAAAACTAAATATTTAAGAAACTAAATAAATATTATTGTTCTTGCAATACTATAGATGGAAATAAGAAACATTCTAAATTTGAGTGAGTATACATTGTATGCAGATTTTTGAGGAAAGAGAAAAAATAGCTTGAAATTGGACTTAGGTTCATTGGCTCACTTTAAGAAGTCACCTAATTTGGTCTTTTATAAAAAAGATGAGTGTTTATTATGGCTACTTTCAAAAGAAGTTTGAATGTGATTCTAGTATCTTTGAAGTTCTGTGTGTTTGCTGACATGCCCTGGAGGCTGTTAGGGGAAGAACTGCTCTAGGAGAGAAGAACCCAGCCCAAGAATTTCCCATCTTGTTTTAGGGACTAAGGGAATCCAGCAAAAGGCCTTCCTAATTTTTTTTAAAAAAATATAGGTAAAATGTATATATATATATTTAAGTATTTTTTAGTTGTAGGTGGACACAGTCACCTTTATTTCATTTTTATGTGGTGCYGAGGATCAAACTCAGTGTTTCACACATGCTAGGCAAATGTTCTACTGCTAAGCTGCAACCCCAGGCCAAAATGTATATTCTTAATGAATATAACTATAAAGCAGTATTTTATGTAACAGCAATTGTTAGTTATTCTSATATTCTAACAACAGTTTATGAAATATATTTCAATGGCCAGGGAAATATTTTCTACTGTTAATAGTTGAATACATAGCTACTTTCTCTGTTTCCTGTTTTTGATGTGAGAATTTTTTTAAAAAAGGATACTAGTCTAACTAATAGATCTCTCATTGCTTCATAACCATATTCAGAACCATAAAAACTAGTTACTTTGGTGTGGAACTTAGAGTATCTTTCTTATGAAATAAATAAAAATTGAAAAATTCCCATGTCATTCCAGCAGTGGGAGTGTGGATATCAGTTTAACTGTGCATGTCAATCTTCCCCACCAATCCCACCCACCCCAGGATGGGGATTGAGCCCAGCACCTCAAACATGCTAGGCAAGTGCCCTACCACTGAGCCACAACCCCAGCCCCCATGTCCAGCCCTTTTAAAATTTTATTTTGTGCTAGGGTCTCATTAATTTGGTAGGCTGGGCTTGAACTTGTAGTCCTCCTGTCTCAACCTCATGAATAACTGGGATCAGATGTGGGCCACCACACCCTGTTTTGGTTTTGTGTAAGTCTTTTCTTTATATGTGATTTGAAAAGTATTTCTTTTTTTTTWAATTTTTTAGTTGTAGTTGGACATAATACCTTTATTTCACTTATTCATTCTTATGTGGTGCTGAGGATCGAACCCAGGGTTTTGCACGTGAGAGGCGAACGGTCTCCCACTGAGCCACAACCCCAACCCCTTGAAAGGTATTTCTGAGGTCACATTTAAGGCTTGATTGTTAAGGATAAAAAAGGTATGTTTTAGCATAAAAATATTTACTTATAACCTGTACTTAGATATAAATGAATAACATAAAGAATATCATAAATATTTCTGTGAATAAACAGGTTTTCTGTCCTAATCAGAGCACAAGTGACCAATACACGTCAAACTATTTTCCAAACATATACAAATATAGGGGCTAGGGTTGTGGCTCAGTGGTAGCGCACTCGTCTGGCATGTGTGAGGCACTGGGTTGGATTCTCAGAACCATATATAAATAAATGAATGAATGGATGAATAAAGTTAAAAAATATCAAATACATTTATGTTTGACTTTGGCAACAAAAACTGTAATTTAGGTGAAAAATCAGTTTTAGAGCAGGAATTCAATGGCTTTTTCAAGCTTGCATTATGCTTTTAACTTTTCTTGTTTATGTATTTATATAGTGAGTCACAGATCATTGTATATCTAGTATTTAAATATCTTGTATGAATATGGGTATGAAATATATTTGTGCATAAATTTGTCAGTGAGTTTCATTTTTTGAAGCTAAGTGTCGTAGTCAGTAGTCATATACTCACTTAAGCTACCACCTTACTTTTTTTTTTTTTTTTAATAAAACCAAGCGCTTACTGTGTGCTTAGCATTATACTAGATGCTAAGAAATAAGGTGAGCTAATAATGGACACAAGACAGACTCATTCTTCTATTGCTTTTCATGCTGAGTCAAGTCATTTGCATAATACTTTAAAGTATTTGACAATTCTTTGTCAAAATAAATTATTTAATGCCTGTGTCATTTGAAATAAGGACGGTCTCAGAGCTGTTTGATGGCAGGCTTGAGCATAGTATGTTTTGAATCCAAGAGACTTAAGAATGTTTTAATAATCATGGAGATTCAGGGTGTTTTTCAAAAATATTTCAGGTATTCATAGGTCAAAATCCTTAGCCATCTGCCAAAGTTTGTTTTTAAGTAGTTGATACATAAAGTTAGCAGAAAACACATAAATTTTCTATGGATCATGGAGATGTTGGCCTAAGTCTGAACTTTGTCCAAGAAGTAGTCTCCCTTTTCTCTCTCTCTCTCTCTCTCTCTTTTTTTTTTTTTTTTTTTTTGAGTACTGGGGATTGAACTCAGGCACCCAACTACTGAGCCTCATCCCTAAGCCCTATTTTGTATTTAAATATTTAGAAAAGACAGGGTCTCACTGAATTGCTTACAGCCTCGCAAAGTTGCTGAGGCTGGCTTTGAACTTGCAATCCTTCTGCCTCAGCCTCACAAGCTGTTGAGATTACAGGCATATGCCACCACACCTGGCCATTTTCTCTTTGATAACTTTTTTTGGGCCCTTGTCCTTAGTGCTGATGCAAAAAAAGCAACCAAAAAGGGGTAGAGACTACCACCTTGAGAGTACTTTTCCAGTAGGTTGCCTTACTCTGCCAAGACAAATAGCAGCCAGGAAAATTGTACTCTTCATTGGTTTGGGAACATAATTGTGGAGCTTTGTGTTTTAGAGTTAATGGACCAGTAAGCAAGTCCTGATTCCTTTTAAGCATTAAGCAAGGCCTGTGGTATCTGAGCAGAAGAGAGGTCTTTAGAGATATTAGAAAGAGTAGAGAACAGTGGAGGAGGAAGTTACAAAAGGGAAACTTGTATATATCAAAAGAGGTCCACTTTCACTCATGACCCTACAATGTCTTCAGAGCATCAAGATGGGAGCTCTTTATGAAATCAAGCCTTGATTAAAAACAAGGCACTTGTAACTGCACTTTTGTTTACTCCGGACTCCATATTTATCCTTAACTGGAGAAAGAATTTGTAAATAGCTTACATGTGCTATGGATGACATGTGAAGAGGCTTTTGCTCAAAAGGACACTTTATGCCCAAGGAGTATTTCTACTCCCAACAAATTTATTCCCTACTCTCCCTAATTCCTTAACACCCTCTAGGAATCTTATATTTTCTTACAAAATAACCAGTTCCAAATGAATAGGTGACTAAGAAGAAGATAATCTCACTTCTAGCATCATAGGGCATACTACATTCTTTCTTAAATCCTTTATTACCAACTTTTTTTAATATTTATTTTTTAGTTACAGGTGGACACAAATCTTGTGGTATTGAGGATCAAACCCAGGGCCTCATGCGTGCTAGGCAAGCACTCTACCTCTGAGCCACAATCCCAGCCCCAATTACCAATTTTTTTTAAGTTGGCACCTAACAGTGACAGAATTCTTTTCACTTTTAGTGAAGTTTTTAAAAATATTGTAATAAACCCAGCTTTCATATCTATATTCCTTTCCATATCAACTTTACTGATGAGAGTTTGCTACCCAGATTTCTTGTAGCCTAAGTATACAATTGTAGTGGGTATAGTTCTAGTGATGATTTTAGATGCATTCTGAATAATATGATAATTTATTTCATTTAGTATATTGATATAGTTGTATAATTCACACATGCCTTTTTTCTTTTTTTAATGTGATACAGATTGAACCCAGGGCCTTATGTATGCTCTACAAGTGCTTTACCACTGAGCTGCACCATTAACCCTAGCTGTATAATTCAGATAAGATTTAAATAAAAATTACATATTTCTGACAAATATTAGGTTGTACTAGTCCATTATAATGCAGTCATATACCTCATATAGACATTTTGGTCAATGATGGACCATTGTGTGGGTGTCATGTGATATGATAGTAGTTCCATAAGGTTATAGTGGAGTTAAAAATTCCTATTGCCTAGTGCCATCTTAGTTTGTATAAGTACACTCTATGTTTGTACAATGATGAAATCACCTAACAATGCATTTCTTGGAATTTAACCCCATTGTTAAGTGACACATGACTATAGTAGAGTAGGCCCTTTACATTTTAAGCAATGTGTCCTTTATAAAGTCCCAGAGACTCAAATTATAAGACAATATGTACCTTAACCTCAAGATGGAATATCCAACCAGGCTGGGCTGCAGCACAGAGAATAGACTGGATTTTCTACTTGCTAGATGACTCAGTCTCTAATTGAGTCTCAGGGTTAAGTTTCAGATTTGCTGTAACCAAATCAACAATTATGCTAAAGGCCATTTGGGGTGGGAATGGGGTTRAGCAGAGTTTAGCAGGAATCAAAGCAAAATGAAAAACCTAGAGAGGCCAGTCTTGCTTTCTATCTCAGTCTCATTATTCTGCAGTTTTCATTTTGATTCTAGCCAGTTAGACTAGTAATTCAATTTTCAACCAATGGTAAGCCAAACCACTTGGCATACTAGTTTCTAGAGGCTTGATAAAATGTTTCCAGGATATTTTAAAAAATGGGACACTACTATGCATTTATTATAGACTGGTTATTTGATTTAAAAAGAAACCTGTAACACTGTACAAACCATATCAAACTGTAGTAGCTTAAATTCTGTTGGCAAGAGAATGGTGGGTCAGTAAGAACTTATAATGACATGAAAGCTCTATAGTGTATTTTTGACACTTATGTTTTTAAAGTATGCAAAAAATCATGGGGATTATTTTATTCATTTTTTAAATTGGTAAAAAAAAGAAGTCTCAAAGCAAAGGTTAGGATTTTTCTGTGTTTATAATTTGAAAAAAGTCTTAAAATTGAATGAAACCAATGGAAAGGTAAAGTTTGGATTTTACTTTAGAGAAACACATTTCATTTTTAAAAGCCATAGTTTGCTTCATACCAAGAATGAGAAAATTTCATTACACTTAGCTGATAGTTTTGTACAGCAAGGTTTAAAAATAATTTACATTATATGGCAAGTWTGAGTAGGATTGATAGCTCTTAATCAGAAACGAAGCTATTTTTCTTGGGAGTCTAGCCTATCTCAGATGTTCATAGCATACATTTTTTTTTTTAGGAAGTTTGTCTTCAAATAGTGAGTTAGAACCACTAATGCCTCTAAGTCATAGCCACATCAAGAAAGCTATGTCTAATAAATATATAAGTACAGTGTCAATACAAACCTTGCAAAATAAATAAATCTACTTCAAACACTAATTCAGTCTGCTTTTGCTTTTAGAAAATGGTTAGCTTTCTTGTTAAGACACAATGACTCAGTAGATATTAAAATTATACATCATCCTAAATTCATTTTGTGAAAACAAAAAATGGAATAATCTGTGAGTATATGAGCAATAACCTTTAAAAAAATATTTCTACATGTATAGAGAAATCCTGAAGAAGAGTGCACTATAGCACAACAACATAGGAACTAAGCTGAGTTACTTTTAATGAATCTTATGTTATAGGACATATTTACATTTACAATGCCCCAAAGCTTCAACTTCTCGGTCATCAAACGCATGGCTATACTAGGTTTCTTGCTTTCAGACCTCTGTGCCTCCTGTTCCCAGTTCTCTAACTTGGGTTGGCACACTCTGGCCCTTGGGCCAAAGCCAGCCTGCCACCTTTTTTTGTATGGCCCTTGAGCTAAGAACAGTTTTTAATTTGTATAAATGGTTGAAGAAAATCAAAAGAATATTTGTGATATATGAAAATTATATGAAATTCCAATTTCAGTGTTCATAAATAAAGTTTTATTGGAATGTAGCCATGCTTATTCATGTACTTATTTGTCTGTGGCTGCTTTTACACTACAGTGATAGAACAGAGGCCATGTAACCCTCAACCCTTAAAATATTTATTATGTGGCCCTTACTGACAGTTTTCTGGCCCTTGCTCAATTATTGCAAGCCTAATAATGGTTTTCCCTACTGCCAACATTTCTAAAAGAGCAATTCCCTGGGCTTCTTTGCTTCATTCGTCAGTAAATTGGTTTGTAGCTTCCAGCCCCGTGCCACCTTGTCCTCATCATGGACCTCACATCATGTGTGAAGAAGGCTGCAGTTCATAAATCATCAATTTCCAGTTTTAAGTTTAATGAAAATAAATTATATTTCTTCCACCATGTTCATTCTTGGCTTTGACTTCTTGCTGAGAGATCTTCACCTGTAATGAGGTATACATGGGTTTATTAGCATATTGAAAATGAAGATGCAAAAACATAACCTAACAAGTGTTCATAGTTGTTTAGCCAATAGAAACCTACAGCTCTGGTGGCTGAGTTTGGGGGAGAGTCTGTTTCCTATGAACTCAAATGATTGGGGGAAAGTGAGGGACTAGGGATTGACTCGGGGGTGCTTTACCATTGAGCTATATCCCTAGTCCTTTTATTTTTAATTTTTTAAATTTTTGAGACAGGGTCTTGGTAAATTCTAAGGCTGTCCTTAAACTTGCAATCCTCCCACCTCTGCCTTCCTAGTTATTGGGATTAAAGGCATGTACCACCAAGCTCAGCTGAACTTATAAGTGTCTGAACATGATGTTCCTAGGAAGCAAAATATTAGGCATTTGGGGCCTGGAACACCATGTTCTTTAGGGGAAAAAAACAAAACTTTTTAACTCGCATTGTTCAACTTTTAAGGAAATGTAGAATTCTTTCAATTGTGTGTTATTTGAGAGAAGTAAGATGAATTTACTTCTTTAGAAGTTCTTAAATGATGGTTATTGAAACTTTAGATGTGATTGTTTAGAACAAATGACATGAAATATGTGACTCAAAAAGTGGCAGAAACACGAAACATTTTCTTATGAGCCTATATACAGAAAGAGCCCCACCATTTTTTTTTAATAAGTACTCTTTCCTGGGAACATCATAAAGGAGGTCTATGGGATGTAAATTCTCATTGTTGCACCTTTTGCTGTTTATAAAGAAAGCTTCCCCAACTTTAAGCAAAGCTATGAAGTCAACTAAATGATTCTAAATGTCTGCTTGCTGCAAGAAAATTGGATCATCTAAATCACTATTACTCTCTTCCCCTCTCCTAAAATATAAGCATTATGTTCATGTGGTGTGCAAATTTCCAGTAGTTGTTCCCCTCTCCTAAAATATAAGCAGTTATGTTTATGTGGTGTGCAAATTTCTAGTAGTTGTATTCTTATGTACATGGTGCAGTCTTAGAGTACACAGAGGGCTACTTCAGTGTAGTAGTACATTTATGACAGATTTACCAACCTTGGTGTAATTTTACTGTCATGGGAATTAGATGTATGTGACATTATCACTTCTGTACTTTACTAATGTTGATAGAAACAACATTTTGAATTTTGATCACTGCCCTTATGGTAGGCTCACAGACCCACTACTATGGTTAGTCATTTCTAAAAGTTTGAGAGACTCAACATTGGTGCCTAGTCCTAAATTCACTTGGCCCTTGGGGGAGGGACTGATGATTGCTTCAGCAACATTGGGGCATAAAAGAAAGTGAATCTGGAACTTTAAAATTTGAGATACCAGATGTTTTTCAAGAGAAAAAGTACTGAACCTCAGAGATTATCTGATACTGTGACGTGAATTGCTGCCATAGTTGTGGGATTTCCGAGTGTTTATATACAAACCTCAACAACCCAGATCTCTTGGAATAGATGGATATGCAGATATTTTGGTGGGGGCCATATCCTGTATTTAGCCTTGCTTATTATTATTATATTTTTGGTACTGGGAATTGAACGCAAAGGCACTTAACCACTGAGCCATATCCCTAGCCCTATTTTGTATTATATTTAGAGATAGGGTCTCACTGAGTTGCTTAGTGCCTCACTAAGTTGCTGAGGCTGGCTCTGAGCTCGGGTGATCCTCCTGTCTTAGCTTCACCAGCCACTGGGATTATAGGTATGTGCCACCATGCCTGGCTATCCTTGCTTATTATTTTGAAAGAGCCTTACAAGTGTAGTCTGGGGCACCAGTTATTTTGAAAGATGCTCCTCAAATATAGAAACAGGATCTTAATGCATTGGGCTTTCTTTTGAGCTGTTATGAATCCAGTGTGGTTCCATCAGAATATATCAGTGAATTCTTTAAAGTGTGAGCAATTTTACTGTTTGATGTGAGAAATTTGGGAGTGTGGTAAAAACAGTGAAGCTCTGTAGTATAAGCATTAATGTCTTCATGATGCTGTTGATCTCCTGTGAATTTTAAGTCTTAGAACTAAACAGATGTAATGATCCCTTGAGTTCATGAAGAAACTAAGTGAAGCTGGGTGGGTGGTGTGTGCCTATAGTCTCAGTTACTCAGGAGGATGAGGCAGAAGCATCACTTGAGCCTAGGAATTTGAGGTCAGCCTGGGCAACATAGCCAGACCAGTCTCAAGAAAAGCCCTATTTGAAATAAAGAAACTTATGTTTGTTTTCCTCACATGCTTTCATTCAGGGTTGATGTGAATGATCTACCTTAAGACAGAATGAGATTTACTTTGTATATGAATACTAAGCAGTGAGCTGGCAACTGACACTCTAAATTTGTTGCATCTTAAAAATGGAGGCTGTTAGGTTATTTTGCTTTCTTTTTAATCATTACATTCTGGATACCAGGGTTTTTTGTTGTTGTTGTTTGTTTGTTTGGTTGGGTTTTGTTTCTTTAATTGAGGCAGAAAGAGATGAGGTTATTGAGGCCAAAACAAAGTGAAATTAGAAAAACATAAAATGCAGAATCCAAAGGAATAAAAAGCTGAATGATCCAAAAAGCCCTTGGAGAATGTTCATGTGAGTTTTTAATTATCAAGAGAGTTCTATGATGAAATAAGTCCATTGTGGCATTTGGGGCAAGTTGATTGCCTTCTTGGGGCCTCTGCTTAGTTATCTACAAAATAAGGAGGCCTAAAAGTTTAAAAGCTCAAGTGTTACTTATGTCTTCAGAGTTCTTGCCTTATCTTCTTTTTCTTTATATATATATATATATATATATATATATATATATATATTTTTTTTTTTAAGTTGTAGTTTTATTTTATTAAAATAAAATAGGTGAGCACTTTACCGCTAAGCTACAACCTAGCCCGCCCTTGCCTTATCTTAAGGCACCATTCCACCTGTCTTTGGGGGACATTGACTGGGAAAAGACAGCTACCCTACTAACTATGCTTCATCAAGTAGCTTCAGTGGAGCCAGTTTCAGAGTGGTGTGATGACAGTGTACCTGGGTAAAACGTGCTGCCCTCCATCACTGTCGATAATCCATCGTGTCACTGGAGGACAAGCCACCCACAGGTTTCTCCTCCTTGTTTTGGACATTTTCTGAGACTGTGAGCTGAGGAGGTGATAGGAGTCCTCGGGGCTGCTTAGTTGACTTGGTGAGCTTCTTAAGTTCACTTGCAAAAGAGATGCCCTTTCTTTTGTCTTCTCTGGATGCCTGTGGTGGGGGTGGGGGGAAGAATTTGCTTAGATGTTAGGTTAAACCCGGGGTCCTCAGTCATGGCAGTAGGTCAGAGTTCTTTTCACTTCCATCTCTAGTAAGTAGAGGTTGGAAGAAGGGCTGAGGAACTCACCTCTCAGGCCTTCTTTGCCACACAGGGAGTACATTTTTTCCTACACAGTGTAAACAAAGCCCAACAATTTTTTCCCACCTAAACTCTGACTCAGGAAGTTTGAGATTTTACTAGTTCCCAAATCTGGTTACTACRTGATTATGAATATCAAATGATTTATGAAGAGGGCAAATTAAATTTAAACTTTACCTGTACCTGCTCCTTTAGCTTAAGGATGAATTTCCCTGCACCTTTCCACTTGCTTTGGGCTTGAAACACACACTCCTGATCCAAAAGGACTCGCTGTGAAGACTTTGGGGTAGAAGACTTCTTGTTGGGCATGTCTTTGACCACCTCTTCCAAAAGCACATAGTCCCCTGGGTTGGGGTTGCTAAGGATGCTGTAGGAATATTTGGCTTTGCATAATGTCTGAAAGAAAAGTTAATATCAACTGAATGAAGTATCTCCAACATCTGCATTCATCCTAAATGAAACTGTAAGGTAGAAAAGTGGCATAGACTTTGAGAGACAGAGGGAATCTTCCAGATCATGTTGACCAGTGCCTTTTTGTGCGGCTGTGTAGTTGTATAACATACTTTCTCAGGTTACTTCATTTAGCTTCCTAATGGTCTATAATTTAGATGAGGAAGCTTAGACTTATAAAAGTTAAGCAGATTCCAGAGAAAACATAGCTAGTCAGCCACAGAATAAAGACTGGAACCGAATTTTCCAAATAGGCCAAAGCTCATAGATAGGAAGGTTATTCAGCCAGTGAGGAACAGAATCCTGCCTCCCAGGAACCCTCATCCCACAAGGCTGCCTCTTTTAAGCAGTGTTGGATGTTGAAGGGATTTTAGAAGTCACAAAGTCAGCCTTTATTTTGTACAAGAATATCTTTCATTTATGCATTTATTCATTCTGAGGACCTACTCTGTCCCAGATATTCTACTTGGAGGAGGCAAAGATGAGCAAAAGAACCACAATCTGGAATACAAAGTCATAATTAAGGTGACTAGCATTAACCCAAATGGTCACACAAAGGAATAGCAACTTACAGTAGTATTTACCACCTGCCAGGCATTGTGCTAACAGCAACCAGTGAGGAAAGTACTATTTATGCTATCTCCATGCTATCTATGCAGTGTCTTACCACACAGGGTGTGCTGGAGCTAAGTGGAGAAAAGGGCTAGTGAAGGCAGACAAGGTAGTATTTACACTACCTTATTAACAGGAATAAATAGGGTTTTTTTTTTTTTTCTTTTCACCCCAAAGAACTATTTTACCAGCACCCAGTAGCTGAGGCACAGATCTGAGATCTTCCTCAGGACCTCAGAGTTAGTAAAGTTGTACAGCTTGGTTTGGAGCTAGAGCAACTGATCAAGGTCTGTGCTCTTAATGAATGCAAACTATCCCTTCTCAGGTGCTTAATGAATGCAAACTATGAGGAGGCCATAGTTGGGAAGGAAACAGTTCTCTGAAACCATGCAGACAAAGAAGCTTGAGATAGAGGAAGGGAGAGGGTCAGAGAGRTGGTCATTAGATATTGGCTCAGACATTTCTGGGACAATGAAATGACCATTCCGCAGAGCTTCCTTCTAAATCCACTATTGTCAATGCTTCACAGTCCCAGGMTCACTGTGCACACTAGCTGAATATCTGTTGAAGGAATGCACTAATATTTCCTAGCCTTCAGAGGCACACTCTTCCTTTTYGGGTCCCCATTGTTGAAGAATTTCATTCTAGAACAATGAAACAGACATCTAATTTGTCCCTATAACTTATACTGACAAAAGGAATGAGGTGAGGAAGGGAGTAAGTTATTTTTCTTGCAGTGCTTGGGATGGAACCCAGGGCTTTATGCATGGCAAGCATTCTACCAACAAGCTACACCCCCCTCCCCCAAAGAGCAGTTTTTACCTGCTGAATGACATCCTGTGCAGTGCTGACACGGGGTGCTTTGATTACTGTTCGAGGCTGCTCTGGAGAAACATCATGCACTTGGACAAAGAAACTCTCCTCCTCTGAGCTCAAGATCACCTCTTTGTCATCTTGAATAATGTTTTTCTCTTCTATGGTCTAGGTTAGAAAATGAAAACAGTAATTGGTAAGGTGATGCAGAATAAAAAAAAAATAGCAAGACTTTGAGCTGTATCTTGGTAATGCAGAAACAAGTTCTTAGATTTATGTTTCATACATTAGTTAATATTTCATGAACTATTCTAAAAAGATATACCTGTCTTTTGAGAGGAAGAAAGTATTGTATTTCTGCTAATTGACACACTGAGAAGGTCTGGCCTAGAATAAGCCAGTTCATCTGCTCCTATTAGATATGGATTTTGAGAGTCCAAATCAACTGTAGATAAATTTGTAAAAAGAAAATTCACCATTTTTTCAATTACCAAAAGCCAAATAAGAACACAGTAAATTACATTTAGAGAAACCCACCATTTCCATACAGACTTTGAGCATTTAGGAAATCATTAGACTTCTGAAATGTGAGACATGAAATTGACATTCTGACAAGCTGGGTGAACAAAACCTACAGTGAAAAGGCTGACATGATACAATGGCTGAAGGTAAACCACACTGAAATGAATATCAGCAAAATTATTTTTTAATTTAATTTTTTTTAATATCAATAATTATGAAAATGGGTTATTGCATTAGCTTTAGATAAACTAGCTTTTGGTGAATTTTGTATATGTAAATTTATATAAATATATATACATATATATACACACACATATCTCTCTATATATAGTATAAGGAAATATACATCTTATTTAAAAAATTTGAAAATATAGAAGTAATTCAATAAAAAAGCAAACTTTTCTTATTCTCATACTTTTTTTCTTTTCCCCACCTCATTCTACACACACATACACACACACACACAACAAATAAAGAACATCTCACTGTTGTTAGGTTTTATATCCTTCTAAACATTTGTTATGGATACACAGATATATTTTGCATACGTGAATACATGCATACAACAAAACTGGCATTACGCGATTTAGCTATAATGTGATTATAAGATGGTTCCTGTCTTTTGTCATCCCCCAGTCTCAAATGAGAGCAGCTTTAATTATCTTCTGCAAGAGAGGAGGGAAGACAGGGAAGGCTAGTAAAGAATAGCCAACCCCGTCTCAGGGATGAGGACTTGACAGGACAATCCTCCTATTCCCAGCACTATCTCCAGTCCAGGCTATGAAATGGTGCTAATTAAGCAGAAGGATCCAAGAATTACTGCCACCATCCTGGAAGTTCCAACCCAGCAACATGACTCAGAATTGTCCCCACTGATATTAAAGTAAGGATGGAAAAATGCCACCAGRTGGTGCCAAACTGTAACCAAGACCCGAAAGACTGGTCCTGGAGCTTGCCAGAGAGCTGCACCCACCTGCCCTAATCAATCATTTCATTACCTGTGCAATCATAGCCCTACAATTTACACAACTGAATTTTTTGAACCAATTCATGGTATACTGGTGTGGGTGGTTAGGGGACAAGAGTTATTATCCATTTTATTATATAAAATGAGATTTGTTCCCACTCTAAAACTTGAGTCCTCACTTAAAAGACTGTACTCATCATTTCATGTCCATTCCAAGAGATCTTCCTGCATAATATGATGTGGCTGCCATTGCACTGATCATGTTTAGTCAGAGAGTGAGGATGGGGTGATTCACATAGCAGAATTTATAATCTCAGTGTCCCAAAAATCAGGAAGCAAGAAATAAGAAAAAAAGTTCTAAAATGCTGCATAAAATGTCCCCAAAACAATGCATCACTTTTAAAAATATATTTAAAATTTTTTTTAGTTATAGAAGGACACAATATCTTTATTTTGTTTACTTATTTTTATGTGGTGTTGAGGATCAAACCCAGTGCCTTATATGTGCAAGGCAAGTGCTCTGCCACTGAGCCACAACCCCAGCCCCCACTAAGCCACAATCCCAGCCCAATGCATCACTTTTAAGAGGACTCCTTAGAGCCCCATTCAGAGTTTGTTCATATTTAGGGAGTTTTCAGTCCCATAAGTCACAAATTATGAACAGAAATAATAACAGTAGCTCTCATCATAACCCCTTTTCACTTATTTTTTAATTTTAATTTTTTTAACAAGAAAACTTATTTTTTAAGTTGAACAACTTATTTAATTATTTATTTTATGTGGTACAGAGGTATGAACCCAGTGACTCACAGATGCAAGGCAAACGCTCTACCACTGAGCCACAACCTCAGCCTCTTCACTTATTTTTGTATATATTGTCTATATTTTGACAGTGAGTTTTGTTGTAAGCAACAGTGTTGTTTTGTTAAATGACGTAGTTTCTATTATAGATTTTATAAATTAAGGCAGTGAGGTTTACAAAAGTTAGGTGACCTATTCAGGATAGCCTAATTTGCAGCAGAGCCCAGGCTTGTCTGATTTCAAATCCAGCAGTAGTCAGAGGGGGTCACATTGACTATAGGAAGATGTGGCTGACGGCTCTACAGCCAAGGAAACAAAAAAAAGTACACAAGGCAAGCTGGAGAGGTCAGAGGTCACAGACAGCAATTTAGGGACTTTTAATTGATATAGGCAAACTACTTATATATCTTAAAATTTCCAAATGATAAAATAAATGGAAATACTTATAACCCAAATCTATCAATCGTAAGTGCCTGTTTGCCTTCAGTGATTGCTAAAGTCACTTTTCAATCAGAGTCTTTTTTTTTTTTTTTTTCTTAAGTGCTGGGGATTGAACCCAATGCCTCATAATGCTGATCATATGCTCTACCACTGAACTACACCCCAGCCTCAGTAAATTTTGCTATCATTATGCACTAGTTAAACCTGAATACACTAAATGCAATTTGTTATCTTTTGGGATAGATTTTAGTCATTTCAAAAACCTCCCCACAAAGATATATCAAGGAGAACTCGGTGTAATTCTACTTATGAGATAAAAGCTTATTAGCTTTTCTTTCTAATTTATCCCCCTTTTCCTTCAAAATGCTTCTCTTCTACCAGCATTTATTAGCATCTACTTCTGAGATCTCTACTGCCTGTTGTCATATACATTTAAATTGCCTTCAGGGCAKCTCCAGACTGCTCAGTCCTAACCATAGAATGATGTCCTCTTAGACAGCAGCCTGTCTATCTTGCCTCCTGCTCATGCCTCCCACTGCCTCCCACCATGCTGGGTGTGGATAATCCACAGGACTGATGCAATTCTAGTGTTGGGAGCACAGGATGGCAGAAGGAACAGCCTGCCTAAGACTTGAGCTCTTTCTACTTCTGATCCTGTCATGCTTGTAACCTCTCTGATTCTATTTCCCTGTGTGTAAAACGGTTTTCATTACATCATGAGCTCGTTAAAAATAGTGGGTTTTTGAGACTTTTCAGTGTTATAAATGATCATACAATAAATGGTTTGAAAATTTTACTTATTCACTGGCATTGTCACTTAAAGAATGCATTTTAACAAGGCAAGACAATTAGAAATAGGAAATGGGGGGGAAAATTAGAAATTAAAGGGCTCAAAAGTCCAGTTAAGCTCTCTGATATCTTCTCCTGAAGTGATTATCATTAGAACTGTTTCTAATGATTGTTCTCTGTCTTAGCAATTCCAATGCCTGACAGGGAGAGGAGGCTGGAGAGATAATTACATTTCTTTGCTTAAACCAAGTATCCTTTTATGGTCTGAGATACAGTTAGGGAAGGAAGGTGGTGGCTCTGGGTCTCAGAGCAGATCCTAGAGTTCTAGGAAAGATTCAGGTCACATTCACAGTAATCAGGGATTGAAAAAATGACACACAAAGGATAAAATTTACTATCATCTCCACTGTGCCCAGTAGACATGGACCACTATGTTCTATTACGAGCCAAAAGGATCAGGCCAGGTGCTCAGAATGGGACCTGGCACATATTATATGATTAATAAATATTGAATTGACTCAATTGCTTTGTTATTCGAATATCATAAAGACTGTCTATGCTAGAACAATAACCTTATATACTATTTCAAAAATGGCAGTAAGGTAGTGACATGTTAATCAGTTTATTCAAGAAAAAATTGGTTTGCGGGCACAGTGGTGTACACCTATAATCCCAGCACCTAGAAGGCTGAGGCAGAAGTATTGCAAGTTTGAGGCCAGCCTCAGCAACTTAGTGAGACCCTGTCTCAAAATTAAAAATTTTTAAAAAGGGCTGGGAATGTAGCTCAGTGATAAAGCACCCCTGGGTTCAATCCCCAGTACCAAAAAAGAAAAGAAAAAGAAGTGTTCTATTAACACAGTCAAATGGGAGTCAACCTATTTGGAGTCACAGGGCAGAAGTTGCTTTCTTTCCTTTGTGGAGATGATCATGGAAATATTAGCACGGGTAATATAAATTTTTACTAATTCTGACCAATGCTGAGAGATTACTCTTACTTTATGTGAAATTATGGAGTATTTTCAAATCGTGCTGTTTTACATACCAGTACAGAAACTTTTATAGGTTGAGTGGCCCTATCTGAAATGCTTGAGACTGAAATGTTTCCGATTTTGGAATATTTGCACAGACTTCACAGGTTATATGTAATACATTGTCCATTATAGCATGAGATCATTCAAATACCTTTCAATGTTGTAAATTATTTTGCAATATATGGTTTGAACAATTTAAGGAATGCTCAACATGTTTTGGCTAAAACTTTATATTTAGCAGGCACTAACAAGAAAGCAATCAACATTAAAATGTAGAATTCCTACAGACCCTGCATTACAGAACAGAGGAGTCCCCCTTATCTGAGGTTTTACATTCTGCAGTTTCAGAACCATAGCCTGAAAATATTAAATGGAACATTCCAAAAATAAATAGTTCTTAAGTTCTAAACTGTGTGCAATCCTAGGCTGGCCTCAAACTTGGGATCCTCCTACCTCAGCCTCCCAGGTAACTGGGATTACAGGTGTATACCTCAGTGCCCAACTACAACAATGTCTTTTCATATACAAATAAAATACTGGACTCACAGCTGATAACATGCACAGGGATCCTTTAAGTTCTTGCTTTATAAAAGATGTTTTTTTAGACTGAATTTCTGCAAGTTAGAGATAACTTTCTTTTTTTTTAACACATATTTTTTAGTTTTAGGTGGACACAATATCTTTTATTTTTATTTTTATGTTGTGCTAAGGATCGAATCCAGTGCTCATGCATGCTAGGCAACCACTCTACCACTGAGTCACAACCCTAGTCCAAGATATGTATGGAAAAATAAAATCATTTCACCATATTTACTTAAGAAGAACAATATACACCAAGTTGCAATGAAAGAAGCTCAGGATTTGAGGGAGGTGGTGAGTGGTGAGAAGGCTAACCACTGAGCTGTAACTGTGTTGGCTGTTCCCAGAATACACTTACTTCCTGCTGGGTTTTTAAGACAATCCTGCCCACGTAGCCTTCTTCTGGAAACCAGCTGCTTAAAATCTGCATGATCTCTTCCTCTGGACCAATGGCTCTCTGGAACGGTTGTTTCCTGCATTCATTCTTTTCTTTAGATATAAAATACTTTTCTTCCATCAGAAAATAGTCTGTGATGATAGGTTTGGTGTCTTGTTCAGTTGTCAGAATCTAAAGAAAAAAACAATGGCAAAATTGGGCTCACTTCTAAGGAGTGTAGCACAAGCTTAAATTCAAAACAAATCTTCACGATGTTCAGATAGGTTTGATGTGAAATTTATAAGCAAAACCTCCTCTGGAGTGTTGCATAATTCTTTCTGGAAGATCTAAGAATTCTTGTATGTCCAGAAAGGATTGTTTATGTCCATTCTGGGCAATGGTACAATTTCTCCACAATCCCCAGACAGCATAGCTATTTTCCCACTGCTGGAATGAGAGTTCCTACTAAATTAAAAACTTTAGGTTTTTCACTCCATGAATTTAGCCCTTTGTAATCTCGTAAACAGAACAGAGGGCAAAGAACCTCATCCAGCTTTTACTAAAATAATCTCGTCTTCTCACATTGGAAATACTCAATCATCTTCTCATGGAAGGTTCCACAAGGCTAAATTCTCATCTGATCTAAGTTGCTGGGAATTCTCCTTTCGGTAAACTCCTGACAGAGTGCCTTAAAAACCCAGCAGGAAGTATTTTCTTTGTTGGCTACTGACCCTGTGCAGTTTACATGGCGTGATTGTGACAAGGATCTGGAGCCAGTCAAACCTGGACCTTCCTGTCTCTGAAGTGTTGGGCAAGATACTTAATCCCTCGGAAATTCAGTTCTCCCATCTAAAAACTAAGAACAGCCATTAGCAACATTCTCTTAATTTCAGTTTGTTTTATGATTGAGGCATAAAGTGTAACATTATGAGAACATTATGAGAATAAAGTGTAAAGTATGAAAACTCAATAAATACTAGCCATCACTGTAGATACCTTTACTGATGTGTTCTTTCTCACTCGTTAGCAGATTACTAACAAAAGGTGGATCTCCAAGGGAGTAAATGTTAGCCATGATGAAGAAACCCCCCTGTGTCACCTCCCTGTAAAAGTGGCTGGGTGATGAGAGAAAGCTGCTGCCACCTGGCCTGGATTAAGCAAATCCCCTTCTCCCCAGGCCTGTGTCAACCATGCAGTGACCAGAGTCAACATTTTCTCACTTGGAAAGAAAGCAGAAGGTAATATACTGAGGTTGGTGGAGCAGAAGATTCTCAGAAGATTCTGATCCCTCCACCTCGGCCCTCGGTCTAAAACAGACACCGTGTTATTGATTCTATGGGGGCCAAGTCAATCAGGTTGCCTGAAGCTCAGAACTACCAGTTCAGGGATAATTCAGCGTATGAAGACGCCATGAGAGGGTCACTGTCTGCCTTCTTCTGTTCTGAGGACTTCTTTGCAGATATGACAATAAGGGTGACAATAAGTGGCTGCTTTTCGTGGATGGCCTATTAGAAGTTGTCTTTATCTTACAAAACCTTGGCAGTGCTTTATGATTGTGAACGCTGAAGTTCATGGATTGATTGGTTAAAAAAAAACAAAAACAAAAACAAAAACACAACACCCACGCATACACACATTTGACAGAAACTTCTTTTTGATGATCTGTAAAGTATGATACCTAATGGTTTTCTATGATCCACCTAATTATAAAATGTTGGCTAAATTGTTGGCGGATCTATACCTTCAAAGGACAGAGACACTTATTAATACTTGGTATGGTTGTTCAGTTGGTTTTTAATTTCCCCACACATTATCTGATTCCAGCTACATTTCATCATATGCCCTAATTTCAGAGGGAGTTCCAGGGTCACTCCCTTGGTCCTTGCTCCAGTTGGCCTATCCTCAAGGAGGAGGAGGAGTTCTGAAGTGGGTTAAGAATAAAAGAATCTACAAGGATAATCAGCCACTGTGTCAAGCAGGGGTAGAGCTTCTAGTGTGCAGAGAAAGAGAGTTACACATGGGCTCTGCTTTGCCCTGTGGAGAGCTGCCCTTTCTCTTCTGGATGCTGCTCTTTGTTCCTGGTCTCTCCCTCTTAGAAGTCCTGCCATAGACAGTGATTTTGCGTGCAGAAGGCCTCAAGATTGCTAAAGGGATCTAGAGCAGAAGTGTCCTGGCGTGAAGGGGCTTAGGCCTGCTTGCTCAGGGTTTGGGGTAAGAGGCTCATGTTCTCTTGTTCAGGCTTTCCTTGCTTCTTTACATCACCAGATGGGTAGGACTTCAAAGGTCAAGATCAAGTGCCAGGGGGAAATAGGGAGGGAGGGCTCCACATGCAAAGGAGAGCCTTAGGCTTCAAGTGCTGGAGATGTGTCCTTGGCCCATGTGGTCTACCCGGATGCTCTGGGAATCTGATTCAACTTCTAGGATGGCAAACAGACTTCATTTAGCTCCTGTGTAAATTCTGAATGATTAGTAAGTGCTGCATTATGAAGGAAGATGAGGCCTGTGTCTAGACTTAGAGGGAAAAATTTTATATGGTTGGAAGGCCATTTGTTCTGATTTTTAAGTTTTACGTGGTTGAAGAATTGTTAAAAATTTCTCTGTGGTTAAGGTAGCTTGTCTAGTAGTACCAAGATTCCTCAGGCCATTCTTATTTTTATATTTTTTTATTTGTTCTTATTAGTTATACATGATAGTAGAATGTATTTTGACATATTAAACGTATATGGAGTATAACCTCTCATTCTTCTGGTYGTACATTATGTAGATTTACATTGGTCATGTAGTCATGTAGACTTATATTGGTCATGCACATAAAAACATAAAGTCTGATTCATTCTACTATCTTTCCTATTCTCATTCCTTCTCCCTTCCCTTCATTCCCCTTGGCTTAATCCAAAGTACTTCTATTCTTCCCTACCTACCCCCCTCCCCCACTTATTGTAGTTAATATCTGCATATCAGAGAAAACATTTGGCCTTTGGTTTTTGGGGGGATTGGCTTATTTCCCTCCTTGGCATATACCCAAAGGACTGAAAATCAGCATACTATAGTGACATGGTCATCTTAATGTTTATAGCAGCTCAATTCACAATAGCTAATCTATGGAACGAACCTAGGTGCCCTTCACAGATGAATGGATAAAGAAAATGTGGTACATATACACAAGGGAATGTTACTGAGCCATAAAGAAGAATGAAATCATGGCATTTGCCTGCTAACGGATGGAACTGGAGATTATCTTCAGGTCATTCTTAGAGCTGATCTCATTCACAAATATTTAAAAAGTGTATAATCAGCACAGACATTTGTGCATTGATGTCCACATGTGTATGCTTACACACATACTCACACACACACATACATCTATATACATTAGATTTGTATTCTCCTAACCATAGGTCCAGTAGACTTGCCTGTTGGAGAAGCTGCTTGGCTTTGGTGCCTCCATTTATAGTAAAGACAGCAAAGGGCTCTGGACCTGGGACCCCATGCACTGTGACTCTGTGAGTCTGTGAACATTTTCTCTCTTCTGTATTAAACATCTGTGAAGGAAGATCACATGATTTTCATTCACTCTAATTACTATATTTCTAGTTCTATTCCATACAGGGGTGATGTACTTAGAAGTATTTAGAGGGATATATAAATGCAAAAGACAAGAATTTATAACCATTTATAACCTGATATGAATGAGGTAGGAGAGACAATGTACATCTTTTTTAATAGATTAGGGAGATTATTTAACAGCACACCACCAAAGAATTGACTTATTTTCAATCAATGTCTCTTTCTATTATAACTAGGGACTTATGTTATCTGAAATAAATGTTAGTCCTTATTTATGAACTGAAATTCAACATTATCTATTGCATTCCATCCCTCTTGGGGGACTGGGTTAGAATTTTGAATAGTAAGATGATAAATAAAATGTCTTCCCTTAGCTCACTGTCCAGGCACACAAATAATCACAATAGAGAAAGTATGTCCATTAGGAAGAACTTGGTGTGTGTGTAACTCAACTCTTTGAGCATTTTGCATATTAAGATAATCATTCAAAATATGAAATCATTTATGGAGAGCCTATAGTGAATCAGACATTATGCCTAGCCCTGGAGATTCAGAGACAAATGAGATATTATTCCAGCATTCAAGGGCTCCAAGTAGAATTCGAAGCTAGAGGAGAAAGGGGCCATTGTAAGAAGCATGGTAAGTTGCTTGGGAACCCACAGGAGGTTTGGAGGAAACCTGGGGGCGGGAGGGCTTCCTGAAAATGGTCTCATGTAAGTCTTGAAGGACCCAATGTGATCTAGCAGATGAAGAGTGGAACAAGGGGATCCCAAATTGATGCAGCACCTGTGCAGAGATTCAGCAGGGACTTAGGTCAGGTCATTCTGRGCACCTCAGCAAGGTCAGTGGCTCATGTGCGGGAGGGAGAAAGCCTGAGCCTTGGCAATGCACATTCCTGCAGGACTTCATGGAACTGGCTAAACTTTGGACTGGAACTTGCAAAATGGCAATTGGAGGGCTGAAGTGTTTTAACATGAACTTTATTTTTATTTGGGGTGGAGAGAAAAGGTTGGCTATTTTGCTGTGCTTGCACAATGTGTTTTCATCTAATCAGTTTTACTGAGGTATTATTTGCATCCCATAAAACACACATACTTTAATTGCATGGGTTAACCTCTACTATGTTTTTAAAAAGGTAAAAATGTTACCAACATTAATAAAAATACAGATGTCCTGGTTCTCCCCACAAACCAGAAGATCTGGTGATACTGCATGGCGACAAGCAGCTGGAGCTGAGAGCTGGATAACAGCTGCTCCTCTAAGCTGCTCCTCCAAGAACTCTCTGCTTTCCTGGAGTCTCTGCCCAGCCCATGTATGTACATTCACCTCATCCTCCTAGCATCCTCCTGCATTGGATTTTTGTTACCTCTGGTATAAACTTTACCCTGAAAGCAATGGAAAACCAAAGAACGATTTCTGTGAGGAATGACATTGATCAGATTAGATAGATCTGCCTGGGAGATTCTAAAGGAAGGCAGAGAGGACAACGGCGGTGAAAAAGAGACCACTTAGGAACCCACTGTCATAGCCAGATGAGAATGAATCAGGACCAAGGCAGAAAGATGGACAGAGATGACTGTATTTGAAAACTACTAAGTCTTAACTAGGGGGCATAAGAGAGAGGGAGAAATCTAGGAAAATGTCCAGTTATTGGCTTTAGCACTGAAGGGTGGTGTCTGCTATGGCTGAAGAATGTGTACCTACCAGGCATAGAAGCTGCTGCCTGAGAACCCCAAGGAATGTATGGTGTGGTATAAAAAATAAATAGATATGTGGTCTTTGTCCCTAGCTGGACTGTTAGAAGTCCCAGTGACAATCAGGGACTGGTGATTGGCATCTGAAGCAGGGGAAGTCTTATGAGACTAAACCATTAATTTGTGGGCTCTGCCACTAACTCCAGGTGAAAAGTGTCAGAATCAAGTTTAAATGCAAGATCCCAAACTGGTGCTGGAGAGGAGGAGCAGTGGTGTGGAAAAGACAACGTGCATTTTGGTGTCAGAAGTGTGAGTGAAGACAGTGAATTTGCAGCATTTGTGCAGCCTTCAGCTCTAATAGATATGGAAGCAACCAACCCAGAGCTGGGTAACAAACCTGTTTTGCCTCTCTGAAAGCACCTGATCCCTGCTCTCTGGGACCAGGAAGTGAGGCCTGTTCCCACCTGTCAATCTTCTGCGCAAGGTGGAGCTCATACCTTCCTCCACCCTGACCAAAGGGTTGTTCTCAGCCTTGGTCACCCACTGGAATCACCAAGGGATCTTTCAAAAGACAGATGCCTGGGCCCCCAGCCCTAGATTCTGACTTAATTGGTGTGGAGTGTGGCTTGGGCACAAGGATATTTTTAAAGCTCCACAGATTTGTTCAGTTAAGGCTGATGTGGAGTGCTGAAAAGAAAAGGAGAAAAACCCAAGGAGATAAGATCAAGGACAGAGAGGGAAGAGACCAACAGGAGTAAGGGTAAGAGAAGACCAGAGAAGAAGGCAGGGCTATTTATAGACGGTGGCAGAAGTGGGTCCCAGCCAGTGCCATTATTGTGAGCACAGGTGCCTTTCCAAAACTCCTTACTCCTATGCCGCATCGTCAGATTGATACAATAGCGATCAGATGATTAGACATGTAGACAAGGTAATCAATGGACATACTTTCAAATATATTTTTAAAGAGGAAGCAGAATGAAATTAACCAGTTTATTAAAGCTATGTTTACTGTTTAAATAAACTACCCTAGATTAGTGGACTGAACTCTGCTCCAGTGGTCCTCAGACTTCTGTGGGCATGGGTCTCATGTAGGGAACTTGTGAGGTGGTGTATGTGTAGAGTGCTTTGTCAAGAGCCAAGTTTCAGCTGTTATTACTTCCACGGCCACCCAATTCATGACTCTCACAGACCACTTTGCTATAGCAAAAGAAAGCCCACCTCCAGTGTAGCAATCCCCTCAAACATGCTGATTGAAATAGAACTTAATTACCAAAGAGGCTGGCAAGGTACTGCCAGAGGAATTTTCTTCCATTCTTCTGCTGTTTATAAACAAACTAGAGATTTCCAAGACTTCATTGTGGAGGTTTCGCAGCTGAAGATGTCGATATCCTGAAATATTGTAGAAATTGGGAAAAGCCTATTAACCCAAGTACTATAGAGCTCTGCAAAGAAGATACTCCAAGGAGATTAACAAATGATAGGTAGAAATATCACCTTAAAATGGGCAATAGATGACGACAGGCATGTGACTAGTAGGCACCTTTTTACTGGGAGGGTACTGTCCAGTACTGTTCCTAACTTAGACTCAAACAGATACTCTAAATTCAAACAAAAATTGGCAGGAAAGGGCTGGGGTGGTAGCTCAGTGATAGAGCACTTGCCTAGCACATGTGAAGCCCTGGGTTTGATCCTCAGCACCACATTAAAAAATAAATAAATAAATAAAATAAAGGTATTATGTTCATCTACAACTAAAAAATATTTAAAAAAACAAATGAGGGGCTGGGGTTGTGGCTTAGTGGTAGAGCACTTGCCTAGCATGTGTGAGACATGGGGTTCGATTCTCAGCATCACATATAAATAAATGAACAAAATAAAGGCCCATCAATATCTAAAAATATATATTTAAAAAATAAAAAAACCAAATGAATAAAATAAAGTATAAAAAAGTAACCTCATTTAAAAAAAATTAGCAGGAAAACCTGATCATTTTGACATCAAGGCATGTGCAGCCAATAAAAGTAGTAAAAAAAAAAAAAAGTGGTTAAAAAAAGAGTGGTAATGTCAATATACAGGTAACATGAAAAGTTGCTCATCATATACATTAGAGAGTGAAAACTAGTAACTTGCAAATACTAAGATTAGTAGGGAGCCTATTGTTTAAAAACATATCTCATGTGTCACATGCATGGGCAGAGAAATGAAGTCTGCAAAAGATGTTCACCTAAAGTGATTATATTGGGGAGATGGAATGATGGATAATTAAAAAAAATATTTTTGCTATTCTTTCTTTCTCACATTTCTATAATAACTCTCATGGGTTGAATTGTGCTCCCCATTCATATGTTGAAACCCGAACCTCTAGTACCTCAGAATGTGACTCTATTTGGAGATAGGTCCTTTATTGAGGTAAGTATGTTAAAATGGGGTCATAAGGGTGGACTCTAATCCAATATGACCAGTGTCCTTAGAGGAAGAGGCTAATAGGACACAGACATGTGCACACAGACTAAGATCATCGGAGGACACTTTGAGAAGCTTGGCATCTGCAAGCCAGGAAGAGAGGCCTCTGAAGAGACCAGACCTGCTGCCACCTTGAATCAGGCTTCTAGCCCTTAGAACTGCGGGAAAACAAATTTCTGCATTTGTTTGTTTGTTTGTTTGTTTGTTTTTGTACCACTAAGCCACATCCCCAGCCATATTTTTTTTATTTATTTAGAGACAGGGTCTCACTGAGTTGCTTAGCACCTTCCTTTTGCTGAGGCTGGCTTTGAACTCAAGATTCTTCTGTCTCAGCCTCCTGAGTTGCTTGTTGTGGTATTTTCTTATTAATCCCCCAGCAAACAAATATAATAATTAGGGGATTTTGCACAATGGAGAAGAAAAATAGGAAATAATTAAGAAGTAGGAAATTGCAATGTGTCTGTGGACCTCAGAGAATGGCAGTTTGAGTATGGCTGGAGAGATTGGGGGAAACATGTAGAACATGTAGAACCTGGTACTTAGTGTAGTTCAGCAGAATCACCACCTTTGGAAGCTTGTTAGAAAGGCAGAATGTTGGGGCTGAGGTTGTGGTTCAGTGGTAGAGCACTTGCCTAGCACATGTGAGGCACTGGGTTCAATCCTCAGCACCACATAAATAAATACATAAAGGTCTAAAAAATAAACAAAGAAAGAAAGGCAGAATCTCAAGCCCTGACCCAGACCTATGTAACTGGGATTTGCATGTTATTACCAAAGTGATTCCTGTGCACATCAGTTTGAGAAGCAATGCATGAGCCAGGTGCAAGAAGCCAAAATTCCTCAGAGCGCCACACTAAAGCCAATCCACAAGCCATCAGCCCTGGCCTTTGCTCAAAAATTCTCTTTCCTCTGCTTTCTATCTAATACCACCCTGGCTTCCAATACTGGATGTCTTCCAGGCACCACCTCCAACCATGGCTCACTTTTGCAACCCCCCACAACTCTCCCTTCTTTTCTTTCCTTGCTTCATGCCTGCCTTTAAAAAATGCCAGGGGTACCATGGGTGCTGCTCGGGATTTTCATTCTACCTCGTTTTAAAGCCTTGAGTGGAATGATTCTCTGAGCAGTTACCGCTGAACTGTTATTTTCCACAACTGCAAAACGAAGAAATACAAGATCTTCAAAGTGAACCCGGAACAGAAACTGTTCGTTCCACATGGGGTTCAGAGTGTTTCGATGGATGGGCTTCGTACGGAAATGACAGCTATCCAGGGGCATGCCCAGGACGTCCACTTCTATGCACGGGCTTCCTGTGCTGTTACTAGGGCACACATTTTGGCCAGAGACAATCTGAAGGGGGAGAAAAAAAGGATCAAGGTCACAGAAGATGAAAGAGAAGGGAAGACAACTTCTGGGTTTCACCACTTCCATCCACAAAGAATGACTTCATGGACAAGGTAAATAGACAAGGTCGGGTACTCAARCTACTGAAACCATATAAAAACTGTTTTGTCAACAGTATTCACTTAACTGTAACCWTTCAACTCAAACAGAGTGTGTTGTCAAAAATTAACTCCTAACCTTCTGTAAACAGATAAAACTACACTCAACTCTAGCTAAAATGGTCAAAGAGAAAAGGAGATGCTGCCCTCCTGTCTTAAGGAGAGAAAGAAAAAACAGGATAGTCAGAAAAATCTTTGAAGAGAAATCTGGTGTGACATAAGCAGACTTCCTTTGAAGAGAGGGAGACAAGATCAAAAGATGGAGAGATGACCTTGTCTCTCTCTTTCCTAACTCCCACCCAGATTTGTTGTTGTTGTTGTTGTTGTTAAACTAAGAGAGAAAAAAAGAACAGGAAAATAGAAGCTGGGCATGGTAGTGCACACCTGTATTCCCAGCAGCTGGGGAAGCTGAGGCAGGAGGATTATGAGTTCAAAGCCAGCCTCAGCAATTTAGCGAGGCCCTCAGCAACACAGTGAGACCCTGTCTCTAAATAAAATATAAAAAGGGGCTGGGGATATGGCTCAGCAGTTAAGCACCCCTGTGTTTAATCCCTGGTACCAAAATCAAACAAAAAACAGGGAAATCTGTTCTTAAGGGGAGTCTGTGGAGTTTTGATAGTAAGTTATTTAAGCAATGAAAGATATAAGAAAAGGCCCAAGAAGGATAAAAGGTAAACTAGAAGCAGGAAAGATGCTTCACTGTATTTACATATTGATGCAGCTTTGTTTTATCTTAGAGCTCATTGGAGCTAAAGATGAGCTGATCTAACAAGGCAAGGAGATCAACTTTTTTTTTTTTTTTTGGTACTGGGGATTAACTCAAGTTGAAGGCCAGTCTCAGCAATTTAGCAAGACCTTCAGCAACTTAACCACTGAGCTACATCCTCCAGACCTTTTTATTTATTTATTTTTTCAAAAATAAATATAAAAAGGTTTTGTTAAGTTGCTGAGGGTCTTGCTAAATTGCTGAGACTGGCCTTCAACTTGAGATCCTCCTGCCTCAGCCTCCTGAATCACTGTAATGATAGGCATGTACCATGGTGCTTGGCTGGAGCCCAACTTTTATGGGATCTACTCATAGTTATGATTCTGTGGGCCTGAAGACAGACTGACAATCATTAGTACATCAGGTAAAGCAGGGATTTCCTGACTGCACCTACTTGGCTCTGGCAAATTCGGTGCCTGATGACTGCAGCCCTAACCTAACCAGAGCCACTGCTCTGAGAGATAAAGACGTTGTGGGAACTAAATCTGTTCCCAGCCGTGATCTGTGACACGTCAGCTTTGCAATGCCATGAATTCAAAACCAGTTTTATATTCAGGAAGTCTTCAATGCTCACAACAGTGGCCCTACTTACAGTTAAAGAGTAGATGGCAGGCTCCATGTTGTCTAGATCTCTTTCCAGTGGAGAAAACTTCTGATACATGGGGCAGTTCTTGTCCCACAGAACTGGGGGTTTCAATACATAACCACAGCCACCATTTGCCTCAAACATGGAGGCATTTAAATGTAAAGGAAGATCTGCAAAACAAGAAAAAAAACTGATATTGCTCGTCCACTTTGTTGCTTCGGAGTCAGAAATTTAAAGTTCAAAAGAAATTTGCATCAATTTTTTGGAAACTCAAGMATGAAGTGAGATAATCAGCCATTCATGTTATCAGTCAGCAAAACCCAGTGTGCGCTAGGTTGTTAGGCACTGCAGATACAGCAGGTAACAAGACATGAAAATCTCTGTCACCATGAAACATACAGTTTATGGAAATGCCCAGTGTTCTTACTCCAAACCAGGTTCTGCCACATAAAAACTCCCTTTATAAATAGGAATCAATCACTTACATCTGCACAATCTTGCAAAATATCTCATTTTATACTGAGTTTTGGAAAGGGATAGCAGTATTTTCTTATCCCCAAATACCAAATCATGTATGGCCAAGTCTTGCTATTTCAAAGACAAGATAAAATCTTAATAATAATAATAATAAWAACAGCTGAAGAAACAGCTTTTCCCTAAAAAAAAATCTCAATTTCAACTCATAAATTACTTTTACMTCTTTTTTTTTAAATTGTAGTTAAATACAAAACAATCATCATCACATTTGATTCACATCATGTCCACAATCCCCTCAATCATAATCTTTAAGAACTTCACAAAGGCTTTGAATCTTTTGTGGTCAAAATTTTCTTTGGCACAGTGCTTTGATGAACAACTGGATTCCTGCACTGTTTCTGGACTCTTCCACACTCACACGCTCATCCGATGGCTCAAGTCTGTATAAAAGTTGCCCAAGTGAGCAAAAGGTTTATGAGACACACCTGACAAATCTTCCCCCTGATAGATTCCTTCCATGTGCAGAATGAAATTTGCTTTGTGGACCAACATCAAGGAAAAGTGTGGTAATCACCTTGGAACCACAAGAAATTGGCCCGTACCCTTGTGTCTTGTGTGTAAAAATTTTCCATGTATCTGGGGTTGGCCAAGATAATGTGCAGGAATTCCTGGGATAAGGATGTCTTAGACATAGGAAAGCTCCTGGGGCCTCAGTCTCCTTCTCTGTCAAATTAGTGTATTCAAATAGCAAATTGCTCTGGATCTGCCAGGCCCCTTCCTGTGCTGATTGACTGATTTCATGGAGGGCATGCTGTCTTACTTGCAGGAGGAGAAAATTCTCTTCCCTGGCCATTTTGTGTTGGAGAAAGCAGACGTGGCTAGGATGGYTTAGACAGTGAAACAAACTAGCTCACACAGGATAGCAAATATGAAATAGACATATGCAGGTTGAGCATCCCTAATATGAAAATTTGAAATCTGAAATTCTTAGAAACATGAAACTATGAGCACTGACAAATTTCACCTGATGAGTGAGCACTAAACATATTGTATAAAATCCTTCAGGCTATGTGTGTAAGGGGAAACACAAATGAATTCTGTATTTAGACTCAGGTTCCATCCTCAGGATGTTTCTCACTATATGTTTATGTAAATATTTCAAAATCTGAAAAAATCCAAATCTGGAACTCTTCTAGTCCCAAGCATTTTGGATAAGGGATACTCAACTTGTATTACTAACAATAGGAAGAGCTGCTCACACTTAACTGATTATAATGTCAACTCCATTCAGATTTGAAGTCTGATCGCATTAGTKCGGTATCTATCCTAATAGTTTTCCAAAACTTTCAAGCACTTTTTCTTGACTAAGGTATCTCATGGTGACCCAATGTGTAAAATAGACCCTTGTGGTAGTGCTCAGTTTGAAATGAAGGTGAGATCTGAAATCTAGCCCTCTTACTGTTTCCTAGGAGTGGTCCCAGAACTTCATCAGTGACTACAGTTTGAAAACCCCTGTTCTAACCAAGTGAAAAAATGTGCATGAATCAGTGTAACTCTACTTACCCTTCTGGATCAATCCATATGATAGATCGAGCATAGCATTGCCCTAATAGTCTTCTATTCATTTAGAAACCTTGAATTAAGTAGACACCATTCTCATAATATTTGTCCTTATATTTGGGGTCCAGAAAAATCACAAAAAGTGCAACTATCATGCAATAAAGCATAATGAGTGCTTTTTAAAAAGAAGTTTTTCTTCTGACTGGAGGTGCATATTTACACACCTGTAGGTCCTGTATACAAGGGAGGAATCTGTTCTGTACCCATGTGGAAAGATTTTTGATGGTCTGTTGCCAGCAAAAATCAGGGATTTCCCTACCAGCCTTGGGTCAGTTTCCTGCAAGATTTCTTGTTACAGAGAACTTCTGACCTTCTTGGAGTTAACAGAGCCAGCAGAAAACTGAAGGCCCTATGTCCATAGACAACCCTTTGGAGTACTAGGTCCTCTGAGATCCAGGAAATGGCAAGTCAGATGATTCTGGAGACATATTGGGAGGCTAAAGGCACAATGGGAGGGATCATGGATGACAAAGCACTTTCTAACCTAAGAATTTTTGACTCTTATCTATTTGGAATTGCAATTCACAGAGAAGTAAACACTTGGAAGAGATCTGAACCAAATATCAAGAACTACAGGTTCTGGTTGCAGTGGGGTTGATAGAAATAATCTGCTCTAACTCAGGGCAGCCTACTGTGTGCAAGGTATTGAACCAGGCTCTGCCCCCAGTTTGCAGAAATGAAGACCATTTTTATAGACAAACATGCCAACACTGCATGTGGCTTTTGCCTTGTTCAGCAAGGGGGATGCTTAATCAATGCTTGTTGCACTGAATCATGGGGGGTTAGCTGGCAACGCTCTCTTCTGGGATGAAAGAATGGGAAGGMCCTTGAGGATAAACCATGTAACAGAGTCATCTGCTTCCCCCGAGTGGGCTGTTCGATGTGTCCTGGCTTCCTTTGGGGACATGAAGAGTGTTAATGGTGAGTGGAGGACAAGTTTTAGTAGCTTCAGTGTGTGCTACTGGACTGCAGGAGTGGCAACTCTTTGTGGTCCCCTTGAGCCGGGGCTCCCTTTGCCATCAATGGAGCCAGACTGTCTGCATCAGTCTTGGCACTTTAGGAGAAAGGACACATCCAAGACCAAACACACTTCCATTTCTTTGCGAAAATCATTTTGCCAGTTGTTTCAGTGCACTTAAAATATTTCAGTATCATAATAACAAAGGGCGCCAGTAGACACAGGGGTACAGACAGGGCTAGGGATGTGAACCCACAAGCTACTCAGGAGAGATTGAAAAGAAATGGAAAATAAAACTTTTTACAACTCTGAAAATATTTCACCATTATTTCCATTGGTGAGTCCAAATCAAACTTTTTTTTAAAAAATAACTTATCAAATGCACTTAAGGATAGTTAACATCTGTGGAATGCTTTCCATGTGCCAAGCCAGGCGCTGGGCTAAGTATGGTACTTCACCTGCATCAGCTTACTTAATTTGAATTGAGAAAAGGAAACAGAACAAGGGGAAAAATACCATGACTGATATCTCTAACCACATGTCTTTGGGGTCAGCCACAAGAGGGTACTATTGGTTGGCACCAGAGGCAGGAAGCTAACTGGTCCCAGACCTACAGCTGTGGGCTGACCTCAGCTGGAGACAGGGTTGTGCTGTGGTTATGGTTCAGCACAGTTAGTTACAATCCGACTCAGTTCACATGAGCTAAATGATAAAGGCTGCTCTTCTATCCAAAGCAGTCTTTTTTGTTTTGAAGAGATTCTAGGAAACATTCCTCCTCAACTCTTTCCTCACCTTCTATAGCTCTGCTTCTTTCCTAACCAAGTGGAAACAAAACACTGAATTTATCACTGCAAGTCTTCCAGTAACCATGAACAAATTAACTATTTTGCCTTGGTTTGCTTCTCTGAGAAATGAGGATCATTTCTTAGGGTTATTGTAAAGATTAAATGAAATAATAGGAATCGAGAATTTAGCATAGTGCCTGATATATTTTAAGCATGCAATAAATGAAAACTTACTCTGAAGTTTTTAGATCTCATTTGAGTCTCATCAACAGTGGAGGAACACGAATGCTACTTTCTCTGTTCATGCAATTCATATGCTTGTTCTCTTTTAATCTGCAACACTTACAGCGCTGACCAGTGCCCTCCACCTCAATTACAAAGGGCTGGAAAAAAGCTAAAATGGTTCTAATTTGCACAATGTTTGGAGTGACCCTTCCTTCCTTCCTTTCTTCCTTCCTTCCTCTCTCAGGGGCTTTCAACCACTGAGCCACATCCCCAGCCCTATTTTATATTTTATTTAGAGACAGGGTCTCACTGAGTTGCTTAGCGCCTCGCCATTGCTGAGGCTGGCTTTGAACTCGAAATCCTCCTGCCCCAGTGATTACACATGTGCACCACCATGCCTGGCAAGTGACACTGCTTTTTGACTGCAAGAACAGTTGTGTAGTGAGACAGATAAAACAAGAGATGTTAAGAAATCCCTGCCCCACAGACAGGCATGGTGGCATTCACTTACAATCCCAGCTACTTGGGAAGCTGGGGCACAAAGATCACTTGAGCCCAGAAGTTCAAGGCCAGCTTTGGCAACATAGCCAGACCCTATCTCAAAAAAAGAAAGAAAGGGAGAAAGAGAGAAAGAGAGAAAGAAAGAAAGATCCCTGTCCCAGAAGAGGGAGGGAGGGAGGGAGGGAGGGAGGGAGGGAAGGAAGGAAGGAAGGAAGGAAGGAAGGAAGGAAGGAAGGAAGGAAGGAAGGAAGGAAGGAAGGAAGGAAGGAAGGAAGATCCTTGTCCCAGAAGAACCTTAAAAACAAAGTGGGACTTGGGGGGTGTGACCCACTGTAGAGGGAAGGATAGTATGTGTGAGGCTCTAGGTTCACTCATCTGCGCCAGCAACAAACAAAACTGAACACAGCTCTGTCAAGAGAAGCCTTGTGTTTAAAAAGTGCTTTAAAAAAGGGGTGGAGCCTCTTCCCTCCAAGTTTTTTCCCTATCATCTTAACTCTGAAACATCAGGGGCGTAATTCAGTATCAAATCACATAATGGTGTGGACTCTTGCCCCTTGGCCAAAATGTGATCAGCAGAACCCCGTTTACTGGCATACAGAAGCAAAGGAGAGAGGCGCGGAGGCAGGCGCGTTACCATCTGTCTGGTAGTTGAGTGCCACGAGCTGGATCCCATGGAGCCAGAAGAGGAGGGGATTGGGGTTGGACGAGTCGATGCGGGTGGCGGCCGGGTAGGTCCTCAGCAGCTGACAGGCGGTGTGCTGGATCAGTTTCTGAGAATACCTGCGACACAGACGTTTGGCGGCATTTTCATTCAGCGATGAGATATGATAGCATTTGGGAGTTCTAATGATAGCGCTGAGGGATGTGGTTGGGTTCAGAGGGGAAGAAGATTCCTCCCAGGTCTGTCGAATTCCTTCATAGGAACCTAAACTCCCCAAAAGATTAGTCTCAGATTAGTGTCGAAACCTTAAACATTTTAGAAAGATAAACCTGAACGACACCCCCACAAACAGCCATAGCACATGAATACATCAGAATAGATCTCGAATTGTCCTGAAGAGTTAGTTTGCCACTTTGAAACAACGTGGTGTGTGTCTACTGAGTTTTAAAAAGAGGATAGTGGACTGGGGGTCATAGCTCAGAAGAAAGGCCCTGGGTTTGAGCCCCAGCACCCAAATAAATAAATAAATGTGGGTAGCATATTTATTTATTTAGGTACTAGGGAKTGAATCCAGGGGCAGTTTACCATAGAGCAACATCCCAGGCCCTTTTTATTAAAATAAAAATATATATATATATATTTTTTTAAATTTATATTAATTTTTTTTAAGACAGGGTCTCCTAAAGGTGCTTGAGGTCTTGCTAAATTGCTGGGGTTAGCCTTTAATTTGTGATCCTCCTGTCTCTGCCTTCCTAGTCATGGGGAACACAGGCATGTGGCAGCACACTTGGCTGCAACATAGATTTAAATTAGAATCCTGCAAGTCCTTTGCCTCTATACCTCATCTGCTCTGTGGATATATTGCACAAGTACGAAACAATATATGTACAAGGTTATAAAACCCACAGAAAATGAAAACAGGAAGCATCCCAAAGCTATCAGTGATGAAGTGGTTTAATGACAGTATACCCACACAATGAATTATTAAAGAGAATAAGATAGGTATATGTACAGAAGGTTATGTAAACTTTACAGCAAGTATAAAAGATACACAAGTTTGTTCAGTTACATCCCACTTGGATTATCTTTAAAAGGATCTTATTTTTTTTGAACAAAACACAATAAACTTAAGAGTGGTTACCTCTGGGAAGTAGCACGAGGACACTGAGAGTGGAAAAGAATTTTAATAATACTCTGTATTGTTTGAACTTTAACTATGAGAATTTATTACCTTCACAATAAAAAGTAATTAGAAATAAARTGGATATATCTTCTGGGTAAAGAGTACAGTTCCAAGAACCACTAGAATGTTCCAAGGTGCTTCCAGTTTTTACTTTTGAGGCAAAGGACATTAGACTATCTCCAGTGAAATGTTATTTTTAATGAGTTAAAAGCATAAATTAAAAATATTTATGCCATTAGATAATGTGGACATTCATGAAAATAAAAAAGAATTTCAAAATTCAAGGGAAATGCTTAGACAGCAAATACATGAATCATTCAGCATGCAGGATCAAGCAAAGATATTGTAAGAAGGTGACTTTACTTTTTCCAGATGTTTTGTTAAATGTTGCTGTCTCCCCTGGGCTCATTCTGCCTGGATTGTTGCCAAAAATGGACTTCCTGCTTTTCCTTTCTTTTCCTCTGCTTGAGCCAGATGCATTTAGAGTTGACAGGCCTGTTCCCATAAAATGAAAATAAATAAGCCAAAAACTTACAGGCAACATTTTCCATCCCTGTTAATGTTTATTTTGAAGTCCTACTACTCCCCATAACTCAGCACAGAAGACCTGCTAGCATTTTTAGCATGGTTAATAATAGTATTGTAGGCAATTATATTGAAGTTTTTATCTCTATAGGCAAATGCAACAAGAAGTGTATGCTTACTGCAGAATAATCACAAGCCCTGTCTCTCTCTTATTCACACCTTACTAGTTGGCAGTGCACCTGAAAGATTTTTTTTTAAGAGAGAGGGGGGGAGAATTTTTTTTTAATTTTTGTTTTTCAGTTTTTGGTGGACACAACATCTTATTTGTATGTGGTGCTGAGGATCGAACCCAGCACCCCGCACATGCCAGGCACATTACTACTTGAGCCACATCCCCAGCCCCTGAAAGATTTTTAAAAGTTGTATGAAAAAAAGTGCTGTAGTCAAGATTTAATTAGTATTTAATTCATATTAATTACTCAATTTTGAGAGATAAGAGAATGTTTTCAAGTCTGAACTTTAACATCATATTGTTCAGGTTTAATTCCTTCTGGTCTGAGCCTTGACTTGACACACTCTACCTTCCTTAGTTCCCTTCTTTACAAAATGGGTATGATGAGAGAAATGCACTCATAGGATAAATTTGAGAATTAAATGGAAAATACAGTGTGATGATAATGAAATTTCATGGCTTCTCTTTCTCCCTCCTGGTCCAACCACTCCCTGGATCCTTCATGCCTGGCAGAGTGCCTGGTGCAGAGCAGGAACTTGGTGCATATTTGTTGAGTGAGAAAATGAATGCACACCACACAGACCTGGCTCTAAGAGTGACTTAAAGGCTCCAATGAAGCCACAGTTGCCTCCAAATCATTCCCAGGGTCCACAATTGTACCAGTAGGAGAGCAATTCCTTAAGCTGAAGCAGCATCAGAAGCCCTTTTTTTTTTTTTCGAAACAGAAATATACTTTCAAGAACATCCTCAGAGACAGAATAATGTTTAAAAGCATAGACTTTGGGGTGAAAAAACTGAGTCTCAGAAAGGCGATTTGCCTTTGCCAAAGTCAGGTAGCCAAGGTCCCAGATCAGGTAGCCAAGGTCCCAGATCTCTGAGCAATGATATTGTCCAGTGATGTTTTCACTATCCAATATTTCTCTTGGCTGTACTCTTTTTTTTCTTTCTTTCTTTTCTTTTCTTTTTTTTTTTTTTATTTATTGGTTTGGCTGTACTCTTGACTACAGAACAAGTAAAGACCAAGGAGGTGGCCAAATATGTACCTATAAATGCAAGGAGCTCCCCAGAAGGAGGCAGTGTGATGGGTTGAAGTGTCTCTGGCCTTGCAGCTTGGACAGTGTCAAAGGGAGAAGGAAGGATAGGCCAGGTTGAGTACACTGTGGGAGCAAAAGCCTGKCAGCAGGAAAGACCATGGTGTGTGTATATGCTTGATGAGATTTGGGAAGTATCCATTTGAGTGGGGTAATATGATAAATGGAATAATAAGATCAAATACCATGCCCTTCTTTTTCTTTTTTTTTTTCTATTAGAAAAAAGAAAAATAGAGAGAGATATAAGATGTAACTGAGAAACAAATCCTCTAAGATAGAAGATAGAAACAACAACAACAACAAAAATCAGCTACTTCCTTGGCCCTAAGAAAGCTAAGGCAGTGTGGTGAAAAGAACGCAGCCCTGGGAATTSAGACACCGAGTTCTGGTCTTGCCTGACACTGCCCAGGTTCATGATTGTGGGAAACTCACTTTACTTCTGTGGGTGTCAGATCATATGGTCTTGGTGTGCCTAACCACTCTGCAAGTATTTTTGGGTGAAAGGTGAGATATATTGAAAATGATAATGTAACTTATCAATTAAACTGACATTTTCCTCACGTACAACCAAACAAATATAACAACAACAAATGTTTAGAAGGTATTGCAGCAATGATTTCAGCAACGTAATTTAGTTACTTTGAGAAAGGAAATAGAATTGGGGTGAGAAAAAGGTCAGAAACTTTAATTAATAAATCAATTAAAAATACCTATTAAAGGATATGTACTATATAAACAGTATATTTAATAAGCCATCCATATGCTTAGTGTGTGCCTCAAGTCAGAGCAAATAATCTCTTGGCCCTTCTATGGTTCTCTGCTGGTACAGAAAGTTCATCTTTTTACACTGACTACAAATATCAATGAGAATTTGTGCACCTTCATTATTCAGTGCTTGAGAGAGAAATGACAAAGGCAGTGGGATGGATTGGGTGTACCCAGTATCACCTGTATTGATGAAGAATAAGAGATGCACTGAGTGTGCTTTTTGAACAGGGTGGCCCTCACACTTGATCACACAATTGAGGACATGCCAGTCATGATGACTGACAGGGAAAGAATTTTCCTCCATCATAAAAATAATTTCATGAGGTGCATGTATGATCATAACCTATTTAGGTCATGTAAAGTCTCACTCTATGAAATGAAAATGTTAGCTTCTTGTATTTCTTTGAAGTATCTGTTTGCTACTTTTCCACTCATATTCTTTTCAACAGAATTTGCTAGCAGATGAGCATTAGCAGCTGCCAATGGTTTACAAACAGTTACTGGAGGAAAACTTAAAATTAAGGAATCTCTGGCTCCCTACCCCCACCAGGTGTGAAAAGGCCACTATTGCCAAATATTTTTAATAGCCCAACACCTTTGTCCCATTTGCCAGGTACAGTGTGAGAACTGCTGCTTAAGCTAAGCTCTGATGAGTTCAGCCCATCTTGAGAAGATGAGGTTTGGCATTTTAACGCCCCTCTCTAGGCCAAGTTTATATACTCTGTTACTAACATTTAGACTAGTCCTCCAATCCCAGCTCTTTCCTGTCCTCAGAAATCTTGTGCAAGGGGATTCTTTTTCTTAGTATAAGAAGATGAATTTTTCTGACGGCCATGTATTTGTGGACTTTCCCACCTGTTGGTGCCCCATTAGTGGGACACATAACTGGGTGAATTAAGCTCATTGGTAACATCCCTATCAAGAGGGGCAGAGTATAGGTATGCTTCAGGGCATGACTTCGAAGACAAGCTTCAGAACCATAAATTTACTATTTGCTAACTTAAATGAACACTTTTTTGAAGAAATGGTTCATCAACATAAATTCATTGTACTTTTAGAAATGGCCATTTGGGGAAACTTCCTCACCTACCACAACCCCATCCTTGGTCCTTGAAGTTTAGGTAGAACCTCACTATGCAGCTCAGGGATTAAGTGTGTCATTTGCCTAAATGCCTCCAGACTATCAGAGCATAGCATCTTCTTGGCCACAGTACTTGGTTAAGGTTTGGGCCAAAAAAAAAAAAAAAAAAAAAAAAAACAGTGAGAAACTTCTGCTGGAAGCTTTGAAGAAGCAGTTGCACCAAAGCCAAGTCTGGAAGTGTGAAGTGCTAGCCTGCTATGGCTACCTTACAACCACAAAGGGAAGAAGGCCAAAAAAGTGGGGGAAAATTGACAAATGGGGAGAGAGAAAGTATGTGCCCTGGATCAGGCTGCACCTGAAACTCATACATCTTTATTGATTTCTGCATCTTTAAGACAAGAATCTTAACTGATACCCCCTGAAAACTTGGGCAAATTACATGATCTCTTTAAAAAAATTATTTGTTTTATTTAAAAATGGAGATAATACCACTGACCTCATAGAATTATTACGAATAGTTAAAGAGAGGATTTATATAAAATATTAGGCACAAATCCTGGTGCTTAAGTGTTTAATAAATTTTAATTGTTGGATCTTATATATGTTATTATCAATTATTCACTATTATGAAAAGACATTGTGTAGTTTGGAAAAATGAATATTCTATGGTATTTTTCTTCATGTGCATCAAAGCAAATAACAACAACAATAATAAATATTTAGAAGGTATTAAAACCATTAATTTGGCCACACAGTTTATTTTGGAGCATTCACAATGTCTAATCAGATAAATAGGATATTTTCTTCCTTTGGTATCTTTGACTGTTATAGATGGCATTGCCTACATTTTACCTGGAAATTTTACTGCTTGGCAATAGATGACAAGGTCAGAAAGCTCCGGTGCAATCTGTCTGCTTTCTTTTTTATTCTGAGGAAGATAAAATTCTTCTCCCAGTTCCATGTCATAAACCTATCAAGAGAAAATGAGACCGTTTTCCGTGGTAGGTAGAAGTCACTCGCCTGTGCATTCCCAATGCTCTTTACCTGTACTTTACCTGGAGGGTCATCAGTGTCCTCCCCTGGCTCAGTACATACCTGCACTGGGGTCCTAACACCTCACCTGGAGTGAAAGCTTTCTGAGGGCAAGAATGAGACTCATTCATCCTTCAATTGCCTTGGGGCATAACCCACTGACTGACACAGGGAACAGCCCTAGAGAATTGACTATGTGTCTATGGTGGCTCAACTTCTTTACATATTCTATGACTCTGTCATCCAACAATGTCACTCACAACAACTCCTTCTGTAGATCCGCTCAGTCTACATGCTGTGAGGCCCTTGAGGGTAGGGCCTGGGGATCCCATTTATCTTCCTATTCTTGGTGTTATTCCTCTTTAACACTTCACAAGTTGCCTCCCTTTTATTTTCTTGGTTGTTATAAATGCATTTAAGACTTCATGAAATCCCCTGAACAACCAGGCTGTCCTCTTGGCCTGAATGCCCTGATTCTGTCTGTTTGGCCAAATCTTCCTTCTCATATGTCACCTTCCCTGAGGGCCTGTCCTTGATGCTCTGATAACACAAGGCAACTGTTATTCTTTGCACATGTCCACAGGTCTGTCTCCATCACTGACCCACCTCCTGTGCCGCTTCAGTGTCTGCCATACGTACACCTTTGGTAGGTATTGGTGGGATGAATCAAGACCAACTTTCAATGGCAGGTGGGTGTCTCATGTTATCACTTTGGCATCCATGGGTCAGCGAGGGCAAAGGTGAAGGGAAAGGTAGGAAGGAAGTGAGTACCACAGTCCAAATATTATTTAACAGAAACCATCCACCCACCTTTCCTTTGTTGTAAGCAGAGTTATCTGCCTTCTTTATCCGCTTGGGAATTTCTTCATTGTACTCAAACTGAAGCTTGTCAGGACATGATTTATTTTCAGGCCTGTCTTCCAGAATGTTGTCTGAAAATATGTTAGCAGGCTTTAGTAACGAAGAACCAAATGTGACACTAAAGGGCAACATGTACTTCATTGTGAGGGCAGCCAGACATTTGTACTTGTCTGGGAGACCAAGGCTCTGTCTACATGATACCAAAATAATGGCTTGAACCATAATTTTAGAAATTGGGTTGATATATTTAATTTCAATTTAACTTACGAATTTACCAGTTATTTTGATACCATATAGACACAATCTAAACGAGAGTGATCATTTTCAAACAGATGGTTAGAACTCTGCAAATGCTGTGGGAAATATTTTGCATCAAGAAGCTGACGGCACAAGTCTGGGAAGGATTTAGTGGTTAAAGCACTTCTAGACAGTACATATATGATTTAATCACCCTMACCTTGAAAGGAAGCTATTGGCTTCTCTTACTTTGAGAAATGTCAAAACCAGTGTGTGGCAGGGAAAGGGGACACTTATTGTTTATGCAATTTTTACAATTTATTGGAAAGTAAAGTCTTCGCAATTTTAATTATTAGGTGAAAATCTTAAGAACAGGAATTCAAACTTGTAAATATATCTAAGGGTGACAGATTATTTTTTGTTTTGCTCTTTTTTTAGCATTTCTAATCAGAATGACTGTAAAAGTGTGAGTTATCATGATTATCTTCTTTTTCTTTCTTTTTTTTTTTTTTGGTACTGGGCATTGAACTCAGAGGCACTCAACCACTGAGCCACATCCCCAGCCCTATTTTTTAATTTTATTTTATTTAGAGACAGGGTCTCACTGAGTTACTTAGCCTTGCTGTTTCTGAGGCTGGCTTTGAACTTATGATCCTCCTGCCTCAGATTCCCAAGCCACTGGGATTTCAGGCATGCGCCATTGCGCCCGGCATGATTACACTCTTTTAACATAAAAAACAAAAAAGCGAATTTCTCACTCATCAGACTACAAATGCTTAGACCAAAATATCCTTATAGCAAATCAGGGCCATGCAGGCTGCCAAGAAGTAAACAAGACCAATCATTTCATTACATTTGTATTCATAAAAGTGTCACAACTTCATGCTCATCAGGCCCAAGAGATCAGAAACATAATGTTGATACCCATGCAGTTAAAATGCCCATATAGATGGTGTTTACCTTCCTGACTGTTAGGAGCAGGGGAAGCAGTAAGGACATCTGCTACAGAAAAACAGAGTCAGACAGGGTGTACAAGTAAGGAGAACTGAGATGAAAAGCCAGATAAATTAAACTAAGGCATGAAGCAAAGCATAAATAACAGCTTAGATCACAAGATAAATGAAACAAGAAATGTTTGGTAGATTTACTATTTTGACTATATAGGTACACAAGAGCTAGCAATAAATATATGCAAACATTATTAATGTTAATCATGCTCTCAGTAGCCACATTCATATTACATATTTTCAGTTACGGACTGTTGTGATACTCCCAGTATAAGTTTAGTTCAATGAACAGAAATCAGTTAATTTGTTAAAATCTTGCAGTTGTTGTCATAAAATATGCATATATTAAGTGGTAAATTCAAACTTGTGCTCCAGTGTATGTCCAAAACTAGTTGAAGTAAACAGTAACATTGGAGTGGAAATTAAATGAAATAAAAATCCATTAAGAATTTATTATCCAAAAGGCAGAGTAGCAATTAGTAGCAACCTCAAATACATGACCCTCCTTGTGACTTCCTTAGGGTTTTCTTGAAATAATTCTGTGACTAAGGATCATCTCACTTTTATAGCCAAAAGTGGCTTTAGATTCATTCCTTTATCTTGTGGGTATGAAAACTGAGGACTAGAGCTGTCATAGAGACACACTGGGGACCCTGACTATAGAGATGGTCCTACAAATGTGTGCAGAATTTTGAGAGCACATTTATTTCTCAGAGGTGACTGGTCACAGCTTCTAGTTTCTCAAAGGGACTTATTACAAAAAGCATGGAAAATTTTGAGATCCCCCTAAGAGGCAGCCTCTACAGTGGGCAGAATTCTATTTTCTTCTCATCCCAACTGGAAAAAGTGGAGATGGTAGAGGAAAGTAGAGATGAGCACAGTGCTAGGATCACCATGGAAAAACTACACTAGATAAGGCATTTAATAGTCACATATGGAAGCCTTCATAGGACAAGCTTCAACAAGGCACCACACAACTGCAAGGCCTATTTGGGAATCAGCTAGTCAGTGGGATCTTCAATGAAGTGGGAAATAATCACGTGTTGGGAGTGGATTGAAGTTATCATAGATCATAGTATTAGTGTTAGCACTTGAGGGTGAGGGAGAAAATTACCAAACACTTTACAGAAACTTTTTATTGTATATTAGTGGTACCTAAACCAAGAAGGTGAGAGGACATTGTCCAAGGTCTCACAGAGCCTGATGGGGTCCTCTTTTTCACTGATAGAAAAAAAAATACAGGGCTGAGGCTGTGGCTTAGTGGCAGAGCACTTGCCTAGCATGTGTGAGGCACTGGGTTCGATCCTTAGCACTGCATACAAAAATAAATAAAATAAAGGCATCCTGCCTGTCTACAACTACAAAAAAACTTTTAAATAAAAGATGTTAACTTTATTAAAAAATACATACAACTATCTTAGAAATTTAGTGGGGTGGGATTAAATTTTACTCTAATTGAAAAAAAATAGATCCTTCTTCCACCTGTTCATTTTGTCATTTGCAAATAAAAAATGCCTATAATAATAATGATTGTAAAAAGCCTTCTTCTTTCCTATTCTCAAAAGTACAGAAAGTGCACAGGAGTAATTTATGATGGAGAGTGAATTTATTTTCCACTAGACTAGTTTCTTACAGGGTTAAATAACATCTGCATTGATTGATTTCTTCATTGCGGTTTTCATTTCATATCTGTATCAATTTTTCTTCTGTGGGACATTACCACAACTGTAATAAAAGTCCATGGGGAAGAATAAGTCTACATAAAAATGTCCACATTTCCATCACTTTTCAGGAACAGGCTGTAAATAAGTTGCTTTTGACTCCTTTCAATTTTCTCCCTTTTTATATCTGGTTAGTTGTGACCCTTTTATTATCTCATGGAGTTTTGGGTCAAATAAACTGGCTTCTAGTTGATGTTAGGAAACAAACTATTATGAAGAACAAATATTAAATGGTTGCAGCCTGATATTATATTTTGGGTCAGAAAAAGACAGGACTGTCATCAGTGATGGAGGCTCATGGAACTGAAACATGATTGGAGACCACCTGAGTGTGAGGAGCAGATATTGAGAGGAAGGTGGCTGAGGCRTCATGCCAGTAGTAAGTGGACAGTATTCTGGGGCTACCTATATACTTAGCAAAACAATTAGTCAATGGAGAAACAACATATGCTACATGTATAATGTTTATATAAGTAGGAACCTTGGCATTTTCTCATTACTGTATTGCTTTCTTTCAGAAGACACCAAACGAAACAGTTATATATCAGTAAAGGCGTCCGAGAAAACATTTTGTCATCTCTAGCAAATGGCACTAATTTAGAGCAAATGAAACACTTGAAACCTAATTCTTACATGAGTAAAGTCCTTTACTGGTAACCTGTGGGTAACATCATTCATTTGACTTTTTTGGTATTATGTCATTAGCCATCCCTCATGTCCGCCCCCTCCCTTTGGTGGGGCCAGAAGGAAATGTCTTGTTGGCTTAGTAATCTGAGAACCAGGAAGGGAAGGGGAATGAGGTGCTTTTATTTCTATCATCCTAGAAAAGTCTTGAGTCGAAATGAGAGAGACAGATGGAGTGGTGATGCTGCCCCCTATTGGCAGTGGAGGAGAAACTGCCCAGAGCCTCAGCCACATCAGAAATGAAGAGGGTGGAAGTGAATTTCTCTGCTACAATTCTCTTTCTCTAGGAATGTGCTCCCTGCACCATCCTCTTCTCTGGGTTGTGGTCATGATGGCTGACAGAATAAATCACTTTCCTTCCTTGCTGCTCACTAGGTTACTGGATTCAGAAACTTTCAGACAATATTATAAAATTTGTATTCTTGATCTATAGAACTCCAGACTTATATGAGATGGGGTGTGAGAGAAAAGGAAAATCATTCAAGTTTTCCTTTACACACAGCATTGGACTCTTGTTTCTCTTACCATCAGAAAGGGATTCATAGTCATAATCATATTCATCCTCTTCATCTTCCTCTTCCTCATTATTGGCAGGTGGGGGATTGGCATTCCCACCATTATAAGCCTGTGCTTGCATGGATGCTAACTGATGAGCCTGTAAGAAAGAAATAATTAAATACTAAACATGCCAACCAACTGAACTTTCACTTAGAACTGTCAAAACTACCACCTAAGGCTTACTACAGCAATTAAAAGTGGATTACCCTATTTTGATTCATTTGAGAGAGGAACAAAACCTCTAGATTCATTTGAAATGCAATGTCAAAACTTGGACAAATGTCAACATTCTTACAGGAAGAATACTGGAGCTTTTAGAAAGGATCACAAGGCACCTGGGTGTAGTGCCCAGCTGCCTAGGCTCCTGGAGCAAATCCTCTGAGAGAAAACTTCGGTGCCTTGAAAACCCAGGATCCATCCTTAATGACTGAAGATGTGAAACAACCCATCAATTCTGGAACAGTCAGTCTCTGCTAAGACCCATCCCCCTCACTTTTTATTTTTCTTTCTTAAAATAATATGAAGAGTCCTCTGACCTTAAGAACAATATTAGGATCTCTATGGGCAAAGATCAAAAGAAGAGTTGCCAGTTTGAAGAAAGCTCTTTTTCAACAGACTTTATCCAAACTGCAAATCAGATTAAAAAAAAAAAAAAAACAGGCTTAGAAACTTTGGGAAATTTGATGTTTTGTGGGGAGGGAGGTCATTTATTGAATAAAGAACACGGAATTTTGTGTATATTGTATTTATACCTATATACGTATATTTATACTTGCATAAATGTATGTATTCATATAATTATATAATTTTGTAYCTGTTCTATATATGTACAAAGTGTAATTATATATCATGATATTAGTGAAAGAAAAGATGTTATATGTTAACACAGCAGGGGTTCTTGATCCATTTGTGTGTCACAAATCCTCCTGGCAGTCTGGTGAAGTAGAATCCCTTCTCAGAATGATGTTTTAGATGCAGAAAATGAAATGATTACAAAGGAATTAAATAGTGTTGAATAGAGTTGTCAAAGGGTTGAAAAACAAATTTTGTGCTGTGAGGATAAATGCGCTCTTTTCTTATTTACTTATTTATTTTTTTGCAGTGCCGGGGATGAAAACAGGGCCTCATGTGTGCTAGGCAAGTGCTCTACCACTGAGCTYCACATGCAGCCTCCATCCTTTTTTTGTGAGAGGGAGTCTTGCTACAGTGCCCAGTCTGGCCTTAAATTCCTGGGCTCAAGTGATCCTTCTGCCTCAGTTTCCCCAAGGAGCTAGGACTACAGTTGTATGCATTTCTTCATTAACACAGTAAAAAACATATAGTGGTAGGTGAAGTGATGTTTTTGAAAATATGATGAGCATAAATAATTCTTGGTGATGTTAGTGATGACCATTAAGTTATCTGAAAAAAAAAATCTGTCCTCTCTACTGTTAACAAAGACAGGGTGCTGCCAACACTGTAGTGGTTTGTTCTGATGTTTATAATCAGAGGAAATGCTAAATTTCAGCTAGAGGTTAGTAAAATGAAAGATGTAAAATGCTTCCACTTGCATCCAAGAGCCCCCTGAGTTCTAGCTGTGGGTATTATCAAGGTTAAGAATTCCTGTAAGAAAGGTTATATTTGGCCCTGGAATTTTGTATGTTTTCAAATGATTCTCTACATTTTAAAAAATATGGTGATATTTTATAAAATGATATTTGAAGGAAGATAGAGTGTGGYTATTGTCTATATCCAGATATAATGTTTTACAATGCAGTCCATGCCAGATAATTGGATATTGTCTAGGCCAGGATTTCTCAAAATGGGTTTTATAGAGTTCTGTGGGTGTTAATAGCTGATACGGAAAAACTGACAATTCAGTAACCACAAAACACAGTGAAAGTTTGGAAACGGTAGCTTAACCAAACCAAAACACGTTCCCACTCCAGGGCTTCCCATAGCCTTTATTTAATATGCTAATGGACATTGTGTTTCTTCCAAGATTTCCAGAGCAGCAGTTCTCATGCTTATTTAACCCGGGGAATCAATCTACTTTTTTCCTCCCTCTCTTTCCCTGTATCCTTCTTTCCCTCCTTTGCTTTCATCCTTTCTTTCTTTTTCTCAGAGTGTCTAATAGGACCAGTGCTCTTCAGAACTTAGGGAATTCTGTTCTAGGCACAAGTGAGCCACAAAAGCAAGAGTGTGTATCACTGATAAGAGAAAAGGCCTGACTTGATGCACTTGGCTAAGGCCAAGTTCTGGGTGGGAATGATGATGCACAGGGCCTGGCAGACCCTCCTGCAGAAAAGTGTCAGAACCATGTGGAGGAAGGATGCTATCCAAGGACTACAAACAGCAGTGTCGGGAAGCTGTGAGCCAAGGCCCTGAAATGCTTGAATACTTCCAGGGGGCAGGAAGCATGGAAGAGGTTGCTGACCAGCTAGCCAAGAGCGGATGACCTCCTCCTTTGCAATAGCCTACTTATTCTGAGGCAGAAAAAGAAAGACCGAATCCTTGCATAAAAGCAGCTCAGATATAGGTTAGAGGATTCGAGCTTGGGCTCAGATGAGGAGACTGCTCCTATGGGGCCAGGCAAGAGCCATGTCTCACTCTTTTCTGTTCTGGCACCTGGCACAGAGCCAGCCATCAATAAAGCAAGAACTTTTGAATTTAGGGAACTGGAGTGTAGGATACATGGTAAGACTCTTAGAGAATTCTGTAGGGTGTGGTCAGGAGGCCTCAGGAACAGCCTGAGGCAGAAGCTGGGATCTAGAAATCCTGCCCGGAGTCAATTCATTGTCACTGTTGGGTGAGTTCTTTGCATGGAAATGACCCACATCTTCTAATTGAAAGGTTAGAAGCTTGCTGGAGCTGTCGGCTTCACCTGGCCTCATGTGTGGTCAGMGCATCTGGTCTAGACTCACAACGTGCCAGGTAACTGAAAAAAAGGGTCTGAGGGTGTGACTGTGGAATCCTGGTCAGTACTTGCTGGGAGATCATCGTGGTGGCTGTGARTCCTAGACAATTGGGATGGGATAACATCATCTCATTTCCAAAGTGAGGAAGAGGTGAGTTGAGGAAATCATACTGTGGGCAATGTCAAGGTGACACTTGACAATGTTCCAGGATAGATTACTAATTAGTTGGTTTGTGAGAACTTAGAAAATAAAGAGCGGTGTGGAAAGAGTGGACCCATGTTTCCAAGAAAAAGTCTCCTGCATAGTGACTGCCTTAGCCTTTTGGACAAGGTAACTCACTCTGAAGAAAACAGCAGGTAAGTAGTGTTTCTCAAACTTCCAAGAGATAAGAATTCTTTTTCTTTTCTTTTGGTACCAGGAATTGGATCCAGGGGCACTTAACCATTGAGCCACATCCCCAGCCCTTTTTATTTTTTATTTTGAGACARGAATCTTACTAAGTTGCTTAGGCCCTCAGTAAGTTGCTGAGGCTGGTTTTGAACTTGTGATCCTCCTGCCTCAGCCTCCCAAGCTGCTAGGATTATAGACGTGTGCCATCGTGTCTGGCAAGAATTATTTTTCAATAAATAGATGGCTTGGGCTTTCTTCTCCAAATTCATATTTTTGCGGGTGAAATTTGGAACCTTCAAATTTGCTTTTTAAAGTGCCTCAGTGAATCCTAWCACTGCATCCTGACGTCTGTATTACCTTTGAAAAGTCCTGTCTGAAGACCCAAGTCTGAGTCCTAGCTCTACCATTACAACTGGGTGGCTTTGAGAAAGTCACACAAATGGCCAGGCTTCAGTTTTCCATTCTATAAATAAAGAAGCTGAATCACAATCTGGAACTTGGGCTGCAAGAGAGGAGAGCATCGGACAGGAGCAACAACCACTCTGAATTCAGGTGGCTCTTTTGGAAGGACCTGGGGTTGTGGGCCAAAGGGCACTTGAGATGAAGACATTTTAGAAATCTGCTAATAAATACACCAGATGACAGAAACAAAACTGAAAAGAACTTTGTAGGCTGCAAAAACATACCAAAGCAGGAATAGCCAATTTTATGGAGGTAAATATTAGATTCTCCTCTACAAGAGGTTAAAATTTATTATAAACCTGGAAATATTGAGGTATTAGGCACAAGAATAGCCTGTGTGAAAAAGAAGGAACTGCTTTTCTTTTGCACAAACTCAATATGAACGCCGTGTGCAATGAAGAATTTAAAAATCAAGAATAGTTTAAGGTTGTAGAAACTGTGGTTTAAAATTCAGAATAAGGGAGGTCACTGTTCTCATGCCATCAGACTCCCATCATGAATACTGACTTAGTTTTGGAAATCCCATTTTAAGATTGGTAAATTTAAGAATATCCATAAATTTAACAATACCCCAAATGTTCTTATTCAAAGAGTCTTATCGGCCACATCCTGTATAAAGCAGTTGACACAGACATTTAGCTTGGAGAAGAGAAAAGTTCGTAGGAAAATAACTGATGGCTTCCTAAATATGAAATTAGTCTGTACAGGTGCCAGGAGACGAGGTAGGGTCAATGAGAAGGAGAAACAGGAAGGAAGATTTGGGCTCAACATGAAGAACATTTCCATAACAACGTGACTTATCATTAGTGGGATGGAAGCCTGAGGTAGCTGCAAATGACTGTGTGACAATGGGAAAGGCAAGGGCATCCAAATACATCTGGAAGACAGTGGCYTGAATGTCTCACACAGCCAGGGCAGCTCCACCTGTTCTCCAGGCTGCCGTCTCCAGAGAATAGCCTGGGGGAATGGTGCTAAGAAAGAAACAGCACCTACTGCTAGGTGGCGCTGGGGAGGAAGGGTGGTTGAGTACATACGTCAACATTTTACTTCAGTGACTTTATAACCAGGCTTTTTGGTGCAGGTCTTGTAGGGTCTGGAACCCAACCAAATGCCAAGTCTCCTGCAGCAGTTTTGAGAGTACAGGTCTGGATGAAAGTGCCCCTGTTGGAGGTCTCAAACTGGTGGTTCTTGGGCCAACTTCCCCTCCAGACCAGACTCTGGTGCAGCAACTTGTTTTCTTCTTATTTTTTAAGAGAAAGGATTTCACTATGTTGCTAGGCTGGCCCTAACTCAAGGGATCCTCCTGCCTCAGCATCCCAAGGAACTGGGACCACTGGCTCACACTATCATGTGCGGAGGGTACAGCATTTAAAATGCATTTATTTATTTATGTAGTGCTGAAAATTGAACCCAGGGCTTCACATGGGCTAAGCAAGTGTTCTACAATTGCTCTACACCCTCAGCTCAAAAAGACTTGGAAATCAATTGAATTAGAGCTGTTCATTTTGGGAGACTTGCCTCAGCACCTCCAGTGGTTACATATTCAGCTGGCTCCTCACACTGATATTTCCTGCTTGGGCACCAGAAGGTGACTGATTGTGTAACTTTTGGTCTAGGGTTGTATGTGAACTTTGGTTGGGAAATGTGCACTTCTAGAGCACACCAAGACTTCTAGGGATATGTGAGTCCAGATATTTTTAAAGGAGTAAGTTTCTCTGTGTGTGTGTGTATGTATATATATATATATATATACTCGTAAAAATAGGCCTGCCTAACTAGGTGCAGGGGTGCATGCCTGTAATGCCTGCAACTCCAGAGTCTGAGGTGGGAGGATGGCAAGTTCAAGGTCAGTTTCAGCAACTTAGTGAGATTGTGTCCTGAAATAAAATAAGGACTGAAGGTGTGGCTYAGTATTAAAATGCACCTGGGTTCAATCCTCTGTTTAAAAAAAAAAGTCTTGCCACAAAATAAGCAGATAGTTGACTACTTCTCTCTTCCCACCTCTCTTTTTCACTACTGATCTTTTCCTGTCTTACATGAGAGAGGCTGAACTCTCACCCCACAACTATCGCAGTGTAATGCCCGAGGTGAAATAAAAGGGGCACCAGAGAATGTAATGCTCCCGAGAGAAAGTTCTGAGATGCCAGATGGGTTGGGAGGACCTTATTTCATCAGGGCAATGAACATGATTAAGACTCCACATTCCTCCCTTGTACCCTCCTTCCCTTCCTGTTCTCTTCTCAGAATCAAAATTCAAGGTCAAGATGGTCATCATGGGGATGATATTACAATGCGTATTTGAATTTAAAAACAAATTCAGATTTTTTTTTCTGACAGAAAATAAATCTGTCTGATAAGATCCATTGATTTAACCATGAGAACTATTTTGTGTATCATATTTGTAAAAGTATATATGTAAAAATATGTGTGTATATGATAAATAATGTTAAGACATAAATGTTTTGTAACTGTTTAAACTTGTGATAAAATATGTAATATCATAAAAGCACACGAAAGGAAAGAAAAATTATTGAGAGAAATACATAGTTTGTAACACATGATACTTAAGCAAAAGAGTTTGAAGGCCACAGGCCCAGAGGATCCAAGATAATTTTAAGTCACTCCAATTAGGGAAAACCTGATCAGTAGTGATCTGTTAGGATGGATTGGTTGAGGTCCTTTCTGGACACATTCACTTTTGTGCCCAGGAGTGTGGGTTTTTTTGGGGAGGTGGGTGGTGTTACTAGAGGATAGACCTGGGGGTACTTAACCACTGAGCTACATCCCCTGCCCTTTTTATTTTTTATTTAATTTTTTTTAAGTTGTCAATAGACTTTTATTTTACTTACTTTTATGTGGTGCTGAGAATCTAACCCAGTACCTCCCACATGCTACACAATCGCTGTACCACTGAGTCACAACCCCAGACCTTATTTTTCATTTTGAGTCAGGGTATTGCTAAGTTGCTTAGGGTTTCACTAAGTTGCTGAGGCTGGTTTTGAACTTATAATCCTCCTGCCTCAGCCTCCTGAGCCACTGGAACTACAGTCATGTGCCAGCTCCGAGGGGTAGGTTTAAAGATGATGCTTCCTCTGGCTTCACTTTTTCCTTTCCCACTGTGAAGCCATCTAAAACAATAAGGGTTTCTTGAGGTCAGGAGGTAATATAACACAAATCTCCCGCTCAGCCTGGACTTTAGGCTACCTGGACTCTCAGTGGGTAAGTGGAACGATCTGGGAGCTCCTTGGGGTTTATTAGGACAGCAAGTAACAGGATGTTCCAGGGACCACTCAGAAAAGCACTAATGTTCCAGAATGGTAAAAAAAAAAACCCTGGAAATGGAGACTGAAACATGGGATAATAAGATGCTCAAAAAATGGTCTCCAATTCTGACAGGGGTCTTATAGTTCACCTTGGGAGAGATTCTATGGGAATTTAGTGCTAGAAGGGTTCTTTAAGGCCAGTTACCATAAGATTCCCATTTTACAGATGAAGAAATTGAGGCACAGAAAGATTAACTGGCCCATGGTCACATGGCTGATTTTTGACACAGTGACTAGAACCTTGTATTTTAGCTTACCACTTAGTATTTTCTTCCTGCAATATCATGTTGCATATCATTTAGGCTTTAAACTCAGACCTTGTTTGTAAGGTCTACAAATTAAGGCTTTGAGAAGGGTTGATAATTATACCAAGGTGACTATTTAACTAAATCCGACTAGACACTTGCCTCCCTTTGACTTGACATTTTGTATTAATGAATGAGGAGAAGATTCCAAATTCATTGTCACTGAATTCTCTGTTTTCTGGAAACCACCAAAGCAGGACTGGRATTGGGCTGGGAGACTTAGAGGTGGTGACATAGAGAAAAATCAAAACTTTAGGCTACACTCTAGTTTGGRCTCTGAATGTCCTGCCTCCTGGGTTGTAGCAGTCTGGCTCTTGTGTGGGGCTGATTCACACGGCAACTCTTGGTTGCTGTAAGTTTCAAAAGTAATGTTTTAGGGCCAACAGCGCCCTCTCAAACAGGACAAGTACTTTTTGGCAGTTGTTACTCTGAGGGACAAATGGGTGCAGCCTGGCTTATGAGTCCAGTGTCCTGAACTTGAACTTCTACACAGATCCACAGGCTGGGGTGTGGGACTTTGGCCCAGATCTCTGTGGGTGAGGCAGGAGTAGAAGTCAACATGCCACCATGGTACACTGGGATCACAGGGCTATGAGGCTTCCACTACAGACCCCACGCCCCAGAGCTCTCCCTAAAGAGGGCTCTCTCTAAATAAGGACTATGGCAATGCCTGGGACTGACAGCTCTGAAGCCACTCAGAATAAATTAAAGCACAGTGTTAACATTCTATGTGGGAACAATTCCACAAGAAAAATTTCAGGTAAGTGGGATGAGAGAATTTRTTGGAAATGGAAAGGCAAAAAGCAAATACAACATTTAAGGGAACTCAGTGTTCAAAAACTGATTACCCAGCAGGTCCTCAGAAAGGTTCAAATGACAATTTCTTTGTTCTGAGCATACAGCACATTCATATCCTGCTTAAGAGGGTACCTTTTGCTTTAAGATGTCCACGGGCGTCTGATGGGCCTTTAGCTTCTTGTTTTTAAGAAGTACTTTCCTCCTAAGTTGGTCGGGTGAGGGAAGCATTGGATCATCTGAGAAATCAGTCTCAAATAAGAATTTAGCCACCAGCTTTTCTCCAAACACAGTCTAAAAGGAACAAAGGAAAACACACCAGGTCTTTGGTCTCCACTGGCTAAATATGTCTAGATTTCCTAAATGTACTAGATAATTCAGCCTGGCCGAATTGTTTTAAAAATCCCCGGAAGAGGAAGAAGGAAAGGAGTTGTTTATTTTCCCTCCACAGTGTCTTCCTGAAGGAAGGGAGGTGTTTAGGACAGGGCGAGATCTAGGTCACTGTGCAGCTGGGGCCAGCTCTAAGATTCAGGGAAAGGTTCCGGGTTCTGATGTGTTAAAGAAGAAAACAGATTCAGCTGGAGGCTGTGGTAGAATGTGGTCTGTTCCCAATGAGGATAAGAAGTCAAAGGTATATGAACCTTGGAGGAGACGGGAAGTGAGGGCAAAGACCAAAGGTAATAGGGAAAATTTGCCCCCACATAGGATAAAGAACCACAGACACCATTTTCACAAAGATTTTTGAGCATTGCTCTCTACAGCAGAATGTCTCTCCAGGAGGTGGGTGGAAGGAGGGTACACAGAGTGATCAACTGGGGTGAGGGTAGAAAAATGTGGCCATTTGTATTCTTAGAATTTTTTTTTTTTAATTTAAAAGGAACAAATCAAATCTTAGGCCAAAGCAATATGAAAGGCCAAATTTTTTTGTTAGCATTAATATTGGGTGACATTTTACTCTGTTGATGCCCCTCCTTCCCATTAAGAGCCATGTTTCCAAATGCTTCCATCACTGGAGAGGGGGGAAGGCTAATGGAATATGTCTCCTAAATCTGTCTGCATTACAATTCCTTTCTATAAGGAAGGCTGTCTGCCRATATATAACATTTTTGATTAGTCTAGGCTCTGTGCTAACTTGGATCCCTGAATTGTAGTATAGGTCACAAAAAGATTTGACTTAAAATAGTCTCAGTTTTTCCACTTATAACGGACAGGTGACATCCTGGCATCTCTGACTTGTGTTACTAGAGGTGTTGTAAGAGTTGGTCTGTTTTTAACTCCCAAGGTTTTCTGGAAAAAGTCAGAGAACAGAGTTTATATCACTACAGCTGAAAAGAGGGGCCATTCAAGAGGAGGTCCAAGCTCCTAGGGAAGCCCCATTTCTCAGGTCTGTGGGCCCCTAGTAGAATGCGTTTCATGGCCAAAGTCCAGCTGTGGTGAGGCCCACAGCAGTCCCATTGRAAGCCCAAAGACAAGCAAGACAAAGGCCAGGATACCATCCTGCCTCCTAGCGGGGAGCTCACCTTAAAAATTTCTGCCATTTTTCGTTGCTGAGGCAATGAACAGTGGTTCTCAATGGATATGATGATTGGCAGGTCAGAGTTGATGAAGGCGCTGCGATCAATGGCCTCAACCACATCCTATGAAAGCCAAAACAGTTCCTTAACAGTCAGCTATTTGTCTAGGGTGGTCAGAAAACAACGTATTACATCATAGCCAGAAAGCATCTGAATTGTTGCGTTCAGCAGACTCTGGACAAAGGTGATTCTCATTTTTTTATATGTACCATTATCCCTCAGTATAACTGTAGGGGGTTGATTCCAGGACCCTGCAGACACTGAAATCTGTGAGATACTCTAGTCTCTTATATAAAATGGCACAGTATTTTCATATAGCATACACATATCCTCCCAGACACTTTTTAATTTTAGTATCACCTATGAGATACTCTAAGAAGTTAATTTACTGTTAATAATACACATATTATATCTATTCATGTGTGTCTACAAACTTAGTTATCAACTCATTTTCCCATCTATACAGTACAAGAGTTTTAAGAGGGATAAATAGGAAAATGAGTTAAAGAGAAAATGCATTTCAGTCACTATCTGTACATATAAGATGAAAATAATAATATTCCTTCCCAGTCTGACCACAGTTCAGAGAAAAATGATATTACACAGCCAAAAACACTCTAAATGAGTAATTACACAAGTGAACTAATACGCTACCCAGAATTTGAAATAATAATCCCATGAGATCAGTCTTCTTGGGTGACCAATCTTCTCAGGGGGAAATTATTCTCCTTACTTTATGATGTTAATTATTTAATTGCATCCTTCTGACAATATTGGCTTTTGTCAGAAGGATACAAGGGCAAATTGACCTTCAATTCTCATAGCAAGAGAATATATCCTGCCTTTATATATCATCATATCATGAAGAATTGCAATAATATCACTACATCCTAACTAATGTAAAGTAATAGTTACTAAATTTTGGTTAAATAAGAATCAATAAGAGTTCTAGATCAAATTCCAGGAAGATGAACATGTGCACACTCTACACAATATTGCAAACATTTTTGAGAAATATTCATTCAAATCCAGCATGAGACCCTTGATCTAAAATGTAATTTGGTAAGATGGCTAATTTGAAAGACAGATAAAGATAATATTTCTTCATGATTTTACTTGAAGGAAGTGCTGAAGCATTACCTTGAAAGGAATCTTGGTTGTCAGTGTATGTCCATGATAAATAATGGGCATCCCATCATCTCCATCCCAGCAGTCCAGCTCTATGCTCCTACAGCCTTGCAAGAGGACCTGTGTGAGTAATGAATGAATCCACCCCAGATGAGCACCTGGAGATAAAGCTTCAAACTGAACCTAGCATACAGTTTACACATCAGTCAGTGTTTGCACTCAGGGATAAAACAGAAAGGTATAAAATCTAAAATAATTATTGCACCTTGGACAAAGTCCACAATTAATCTGGGTTAGGGAATGGAGAGAACAGATTAAGGTAAGAGCATTTACCAGAGCTGAATATTATTCAAAGATCAAATTGAGAGCAAAAACATATAAGCTTTTTCTTTCTTTCTTTCTTTCTCTGCCTTTTGCACCTTTGATTCCTTGAAACAGCACATCTTGAAATTAGAGAGCCCAGAAAGAGCTCTATATGGTTAGATTTCAATGGAGGTAAAGGTGCTGATGCCACAGCCTGGAAGAATTAAAACCACCAATTCCTTACTGAGCAGTCTAAAGATTTACATGAAGTCAATCTGTATGAAATATCCTCCATCAATACTCAAATTTAGTAATGTGGAAATTTCTTTGCTATGAAAATGTAGTCAGAAGAATATAAGAAAGGAATTATCAAGAATTTGCCTATCTAAACCCAAAGATAGGCAACACATCTGGAGAAGAAATAAATTCCTCTCTTCCACATGCATAGCAGATACCAGTTATTGATTTTGGCACACTTATGTATGAATATGTAACAAAAATTCCACGATTATACATGGCAATAATGCACCAATAAAAAATATGAAAAAGTATTCAGCCCACTTGCCCCTAGGCTCACAAACTCTTCAGCAAAGTATTGCAGGAAACACCACTAATGAATCAGACCAGGTGATACCCATTGGCTGTCCTGGATCTAAAACTATAAACAGGGCTCCCAACACATGTGCTTGATTGGGTTTGAGCTTGGTATTATCTGTTTGAAGCAACCTCCTCATCTTCCTTCGTGACTCTACCTGTAGAATACCTTAAACAATTATCACATGATGGAAAGGTAATAGAAACCAAGAGGCTGATATATCTATGGATGGACCTACTTATTTGAGAATTCACATAACTATTTCCATGTGACAGAAATCCATTATTAGGGTTTAGTGGCCACAAAAGGCTTCTGCAACAAAGTTCAGATAGTGGAATGCTTTTTATTTTAATATTTTTTATGTAGGTTCTTCCCATTAAACATCATAGTCTGTGGCCTAGAATTCTGAGGTCACCAGCTCCTGGCAACAGCTAGAGTATATATAAGTACATTGTCTTGGGCTGAAGATTGAAATATGGCAGGTAGGACACAAGGATGCTTCATCCCTGGGAAAGACTGCTAGGTTGGGAAGAATGCCCAGCAACTAGCAACAGATTAGATGGGTTTTCAGCATGAAAAGACTGTCTTTATCAAAGGCTGCATGACCTTAAGACCTCCATGTATAACTAGAAGACCAGGGTTGGGAATTCCAGGTAAGAAGAACAGGGCTTATTCTCACTTTTTATCTGCCCCATAGAGAAATGATAGGAAGTCCTAGGAGGACTGAGGGAGAGTGGAGAACCATTAGAAACAGAGTGAAAGGGATCTGACACCAGTCTAATCACATCTATGAGTATATTTGGAGGGTTCTCGTACCTTATTCAAAAGCTGTGATAATTTCAACTTGGGTATAATGTTAAGGAGTTTGAAAACTGAAGTCAAATAATAAAGTAGGAATAAAGCTAAGGCATTGACACTTGCTTATTTTCCTGGGAGGAAAACACACACACTCACAAATATGTAGACATGCAAAGATATGTATGTATGTACTTATATATGTGTTTATGTACACATGCATGTATATTACATATGTGTATCAACATATGGATATACAAATGAGACACATGGATATACAAATGAGATATATGTATATATAGGTACACATATACCCCATTTGTGTGTGCGTGTGTATATATATACACACGCACACACAAACATATGTATCATATCCCATCTCTGTGTGTGTGTGTGTGTATATATATATATATATATATATATATATATTTAAATGAATATATATATTCATTTAAATTTCCCATAGAACAACGGATTTCAAATTTCTTTTGATTTGGAATTCTCTGTGCAAATGAAAGGCCAACACAGAAAACCCATAGAAGGGAAGCACTTCAAGGAGTGGGGCAGGGTATCCAGGACTCCCACCCTTCCTACCCTGTGGCTCGCTCATCTCATTGTCAGCAGCTGAGGCCCCTTAACAGCCTCCTATTTTGAAAACCACTACCCCAAGGACACTGAATCTTCATTTCACAATAAAGGTCCCTTAGAAAACAGTTAAAAATGCATATTTCACGCTAGATCATCTTTGGGACAAAAATGTGCCTCTTGCTGTGAGGAATATCTGGACTAATCCAGAGAACAAAGGAATCCCATTGCTGCTGGGGTTGTGTAAATAATACTGATATGATTTTCAAATGTGGGCCTGTAGGTACACAACCACACACTTATATTCCCTGGACCTAGCCTAACTCTCTTCTGATTAACTTCTTGTGGGCATTCAAAAAACAGGCAGCTTGAAAGAGGAAGTTGAAGACAATATAACAGGCGACGGACATGCAGACCATTGAGAACTGGATGTGTAGGTCAAAAGGATGTGCTTTTCCCAGTCCAGACAGCCCACTTTTTCATAGAGCATTCCCAGGAATTCAGAGGGACAGTGCCTCCCGTCTGTGCAAATTTTTTTTTCCCTCAAGTTGGTTACCATAGGGACAGATTGATTGTCTAACAAACTGCAAAGCAAAACAAACAATATTTTGGGATTAGCTCTGTAAGAAAGTTGCATTTTCTACTACGTTTTCCCACTACAATATATTGATTTATTTAGCATTTAGTGAAACGATTAGATTGTTTTCCCATGGGAAAATCTAATTTTAGTAGGAGTAGGTCAGGCTTGGATCTAAAAGCTAGGAGTCTCAAACAAATACTTTTTTTTTTTTTTTTTGTGCCTAGAATAAGGGTTAAGTATAGATAGAGGGAGAAAACAAAACAAAACAAAAAGAAGTAAAGAAAACAACTGCTGTATGTATAGGCAGTTTTCCCACACATCATGGCTCCTTACGTTTCACATGTCCTAGTTTATAAGCTCTTTGAAGGAATCGGAGGTCAGGTTTTCGTGACCTTGGGGGTTATATAAATAATAAGGTTTAATGGAAACCACATTGCAAGTGGCCTTCTCGGTACCTGGCTGTAGAGTTCTACTGAGGATTCTCCTTTGAGCTGATGGCCCGTGAGGTAGGTATTGTGTGAAGATTCAATGTAATAGTAGGAGAGGGGTAGTTGCAATTCTTTTAAGTTCTCCTGTGACTCATCATTTTTCGAGGCAAAATTATCTTTATCCATCAGAAACCTAGATGAAACACACTTTCTTAAGACTGCATGAGAGCAACTGACATTCTTAAAGGATGGGCAAAAGATCTTTTAAAAGTTACCTTGCAAATCCTTCAAATGACATTAGGCCCTGATGACACATGTTGATGCTAGGCTCAAACTTCTGCATGGGATACAAAAAAAAAAAAAAAAGAAAAAGAATTGTTATTTAGGTAAAGGAAACCACGCGGGGGGAAAAAAACCACCACATGATTTTTTAAACCTGTTCTTTTTTCATCAGGAAACATCTAAACCAAATATTTGAACTAATTTAGTAATGTACCAGTAAGATGTAGTTTTTAGTCCAAAAGAAAATATTTATTATACGTGAGTTTATGATACTAAGCATATTTATTTAAGAGAAAAAAAAGGGGAGCAAGAGAAAAGAATAAGGCTGATTTATATGAAAACAAAGCATATCAGTTTATCCAGGTGAAAATGGGGATAATAACAGCAGTTACCATTGAGTAGGTGGGAGGTGAAAGGAGATAATTTTCATAGGGCACCTAGTACCGCATCTGATCTACAAATACAGTGGGCACTCGATGACATGATCATATTCTCGCCTTTTTTTTTTTTTTTTTTTTTTTTGGTACTGGGAATTGAATTCAGGGCACTTTACTACTGAGCTACACCCTAGTCCTTTTTGCTTTTTGAGACAGGGTCTTGCTAAGTTGGTGAGGCCATCCTTCTTCGTCAGCCTCCCAAGTCAATGGGATTACAAGTGTGTGCCACTGTGCACAGCTACTCTCATATTTTTAGTGATCAAGTCCAACTGCTGGATAGCTAATCCACAGATTCTAATTCTGAGGAAAGTGATGCAGCCACACTGCACAGCATCCCCACAATCTCTCTTGCCTGGGCGACTAGGATAGTCTCCTAACCCGTATCTGCCTCCATCCCTCAGCATAGTTTATTCTCTGAAGTGGTCAGAGCGACCTCTTGAAAACAGAAATCATGTTACTCTCCCACTCAAAACTTTCCAAAGGCTTTCCATTTCACATGAAGTCAAGTCAGCCTGCTTCCCATGGCCTAAAAGGCCTAGATGATTCAGCCCCTGAAACCCACTTAAAATCATGTCTGCCACTCTCTGTCTGGCTTATGGAGCTCCCCGAATACTAGCTTTTTTGTCATTCCTCTTAAACCCAGAGCTCACTCCTGCCTCAGTAAGTTTGGAATGCTCTTTCTTCAGAATCTCACATGACTTACTCATTTAGGCTCTGTCCAAAGGCCACCTCCCCATAGTGGCTTTTGCTTAATTACTCCTCCTTAGCTTCTCACATCACTCCATCCCTTACTTTGCTGAATTTTCCCCATAACTCATTGTTATCTGAAATTGCACTGTATCTTATTAATTGTTTGCCTCACCCATTAGAATGCAAGCTACACTGAGGGTCAGAACTCTGATCTCATTCATTAATTACTGTATTCCCAGCTCCTGAAACAGAGCTAGCATAGTAGGTGTTAATACATATTTATTAAATGAGAAAAGAAGTTGAAGACCTAGACTAATTCTGTTGTGCATGCTAGAATAACAAGGAGGAATTATGTACTGACTTTTCTTTTCTTCTCTTTATTTATTTATTTTTGGTGCTGGGGATTGAGCCCAGGGCCTTGTGCATGCTAAGCAAACACTCTTCCAACTGAGCTATATCTGCAGCCCCATACTGATTCCTTGTAATGGTCACTGAGTCATAGACATCATGGGGTCTATGTTAATTATGTGTTAAATAAAACATTAGTATACTTGATATTTAAAAACAAACAAACAAAAGAACAAAACAAACAAACAAAAACCTCAAATTGTCTCAGATGTGAAGACTTTGGAAAGAAGCATAGAAAGAGTAAATGTGTAGCAGCAAATTATCAGAGAAGTCAGAGGCATTAAACATAAGTGCACACACACAAAATGAGCACAAACCTGGATGATGCTGAGGATCTCATCGTAAGTGCAGTGTTCCCCTTGGCAATTCACCAGGAAGTCGTTGAGCTGGAGAATGCCAACCCCAAATATGCCCAGGGATGTGCTCTCGATCCCAGTGCCATTTGTCACAATGCTTGCAGCAGCGATGGCATCAGATATCTGCCTCTGGTTGTCTGAAAGCTGCTGTTTGCTCTTAATGAACAACCCCAAGTCTGAGACGTTTCTGGTCAACAAATCTGAAACAAAGCCACCCACAGAACATGGACTCTTGTCCTGCCAGCATCTTGAACAAAATACATTTTGCAGATAATGGTGATATAGACTCAATGAATTGGAGAAGCTCTTTATTAATCAAGCTCAGTGTTGACATCTGGCTTCACATAGTTGAGGGAATAAAAAATCAACCAATCAATCAATTGATCGATAAGAGCTAGGTTGATGATATTGAAATTCTATGAGAATAAAATGTAGCTTCAATGGGGACTGGAGGCCAAATTCAGAGTTCAGTTTTTGAGAATAACTACATCTACATTTTTTTTAATGTAAAGACTGAAGATGTATTCTTAAAATTATGGTTTTCCTGTGCTTTAAAATTATAACTACCAACAATTGTAGGTAGGTTTTTGTGTGAATACAAAATTTTAACTCTTTTGGGTAAATTTCCAAGGAGCCASAATTGCTAGATTGTAAAAAAAGAGTATGTTTGGTTTAGCAAGAAAATGTCATACTACCTTTCAAAATATATGTTTGCACCTTTTTTACATCTCTACCAGCAATGTTCTAATGGTCTAACTGGTATACATTCACACCAGTTATTTTAATTTTCACCATTCTGGAAGATAATCTGGCAGTTTCTTATAGAGCTAAACATGGACTTACCATATGATCCAGCAATTGCATTGTTAGGTATTTACCCAAAGAACTTCAAAACTAATGTTCACACACAAACCTATGTACCAATATTTATAGCAGCTTTGTTCATAATTGCTAATACTTGCAAGCAACCAAGATATCTTTCAGAAGATTAATGGATAAACAAACTGTGGTACATCCATACAATGGAATATTATCCAGTTTAAAAGAAATGAGCCATCAAGTTGCTACAAAACATGGAGAAAACTTAAATGCACTTTGCTGAGTGAAATAAACCAGTCTGAAAAGCTATACACTATATGATTCCAATAATACAACATTCTAGGAAGGGCAAAATTATGGAGAGAGTAAAAAGATCAATAGTTTCCAAGAATTTGGAAGACTGAAGGGAGGATGAAAAGATAGAAGAGAGAATATTTTCAAGGTAGTAAAATATGCAGGATACCCTTATGGTGGATACACATTATACATTAGTCGAAACTAAAAGACTATATAACACAAAGTGATCCCTAACATAAGCTATGGATGTCAGTAACTAACAATGTATCAACATTAACTCGATTATAACAAATGTAATGGAAGGTACTACTAATAGGGGAAACCTGGGTGGGGGTGGGGGTATGGGGTTGGTATATGGGAACTTTGTATTCTGCTCATTTTCCCATAAGCTTAGAAAACAAAATAAAGTCTAATGACTTTTTAAAAAGTGCAGTTACTTGACTAATCCATAGTTATACACATTTTGAACAATAGGTAAATTCTTAGCTTAAGGATAACATAAACATAAATAATTTTGAAGCAACTGCATGAAAAAAGAAAGTTTTTTCTTTTGCTTCTTTGCATATATAGTTCCAGCAAGAACAGAGGAAAAAATGACAGGTTTAACATGTGCAGGTGACTAAAAATAGCATGAATGGTGATGGTAATGGTGATGGTAGCCAGGGGGATAGAACGAGACACTGTGGTGTGCATAGTAGGAAAAACGTCTTGGATGTTCATATAGGAGGACTCTGCTGTGGTCACCAAAGACTGTCCTATCAAAGGGCAGGCAATTCCTGCCCTGGGATTGAGCACCCACCTGCCTGTACGTAGAAGAGAGCCAAGTGTTTCTCAACTATGACACACCACACACCTTGTGGACATTTGGAAATGGTCAGGAAGGGGTTTTTGGTTGTTGGAATGACTGGAGGGTACTACTGGTTAAATATCCTGGAACATATGGGCTGAACAATGATGAATCTTTGCCCAAAATTTCAATAGCACCTGCCCCAAATGATCTCTTGAAATAATTCAGTTCCACCAAACTCCAGGTAACAGCACATCATGTGCGAAAGGCTGGGAGCTTGTGTGACTGGATCTCTGGCCTTGATTTTTAGACAGAAATTTCTCAAAAGGGAAATCCTCAGGTATTAAACAAACCTAGGTCAGGCTGAAGGTCACTGGTGTTCTCCTCAATTGTCAGGTTGGTGTAGAGTGGGGCCGACTCAGAGCCGGATCGGTTGCAGGGCACGCAGTAGACATCAAAGAGATCCTTCAGGTCCTTGCGGCTCCTTACACTGAGCGAGGAATAGAAAACAACTCCCATGTAGTGTTGTTATAAACATGTGGACCCGGGAAAGAGTAAGAAGGACTTCAAGGCCATACCTGAATGATTTGAACAGCTCAACAAATTCAACAAAACTCATGTTACTGTCTGAAACCATGAAGCTCTGGAACCCCTTCATTCCTCCTTTGATCCGCCCGTGCCAGCTGCTACTGCTCCAGGCACTGCAGAAAGACAGGGCTGTCATGGGCAAACTGGGATGCGCCAGTCACTCTGCCCCAACACATGTTCTCTGGTTAGCAACATGAGCAAAACGATGGATTGCAAGTCATTTAAGTTTTCCCCTCTTCACTTTCTATTTCCCTTGATCTACATTGTGTGAGGGAATAAAATGTCATCTGTTGAAGCCACGTCATGTTTCCATCTGATTTAATAAGGGCACAAAGTTGAGGTTAATACTCCTCTACTAATCAAAGCAGTTCTTTGAAAACCACAGCTCAATGGGGGGAAAATTCCTAAGTTCAGTGATTCTAAAGAAAAGTCACTTAAAAAAGAGCTCAGAATTACTCAATCATAATCCATGGGAAATAATACGTGTTCTTTTCTATAATCTGAATTATAGGAACCCATTTAAGAGGAAAGTTTTAGGTACTGCAGTATCTTTTCTTCTTCCTTTCCTAATCAGTTCTTCAATGAAAATAGGGAAGAGCTTTTAATATTAATGGAAAATGTGAGTCAGAAAACACATTAAGAATGGAAAGTAGCCAAATCTGCCAAAGGATTATATCTGTATCTGCGACGGCTGCGACCATTCAATATAAAAATGTAGGTCAAATGAGTCAAAAACTGTCTCCATGTTTCACCTTTTAAATCTTCTATACTGATTTCCTGACAGAATAGCAAGTGAAATGTTTTGATTATAGTTTTTAGTCAAATTAATGAACATAATCTTTGTTTTTATTACCTTGGGCTTTTTAAAAAATATTTCAAATATGTAAGAGAGTACAGAGAATATAATAATAAACAGTCACCGTCTATTCTCGACCTCACTAACAATGTTTGGTGAGGGAAAATTGTTTTGTGTTGACAGCTGAAGGTCACCTCCCTCACTGGGAGAGCATCAACAATTGACAGATTTACAGGCTTAGATTGTTGAAAATCAGCACAGAGCAGGACATAGGAAGCATAGGTTCAGGAAGGGGAGAATTGTGGCTTCAACATTTGCATTTAAATAATAAGTTCACCGTGTTCCTTACTTCTAGCCTCCTGACTGTAGGACTCATCTCCTGACTCTAGGAAGCTCTATGTCCACTCTTTCTCCTGCTAGACTTAGGGCTCAATCTTGCTTTCTCCTTTAACAGCATTCTGGCTGATTTTCTTTTGCTTTGTTTTTTCTTTCTGTTTTAGGATGGTTGAGTGGGTATGGACCCCTGGGGTCTCCTGGGTTGGGGCCTCTGACCTTTGATCTGGCATGTTAGTTTTCTCTTTCAAAAGGTTTTTTTCTGCTCATGAGTGACTGAAGTAAAGGGAAAAGCCATTTAATGAAGGTTGTTTGGCTATTTTGTTTCCCCAGGATCCTGTATAGGCTGAAAGTAAAATGTAAAGGGAACCAACTCTTTGTTAACTTTCAATTTTGTTGTAAACCTAAATTTGAAGAAGAGTTTCAAGGGTGGTAGGAAGAATTCCTATATTCCCTGACCCATTTGAGCCAGTTTTGTGAGAAAGAATTCTTCTATGTGTGTGTGGGGGGGTGGGGATTGAAAGCAGAACCTTTCRCATGCTAATCAAGCATGCTACCAGTGAACTATCCCTTGGCTCTTTTCTTTTCATTTTGAAACAGGGTCTTGCTAAATTGTCCAGACTGACCTGGAAATTGGAATCCTACTGCCTCAGCCTCCCAAGTAACTGGGATTCAAGGCAAGCATTGCTTTGGCAAGATTCTTTCCTTTAAAAGATAATTTGCTACAGTATTCTTATCAATAGGGAGAGAGAGAGAATATGAATGAATGAATGTGGTGTGTGCATGTGTGTAGTGTATATATGTATGTGGTGTATGTGTGTGTGTGTGTGTGTGTGTGTGTGAAATTGACATTTCCAAAGTCAATGTGTGCTCAGACTCACTCCTCTGTGGATAGGTGAAGAGTACCTGTTTTATCGTGGTTCTACATGAATTCTCTGAATTTCTTTAACTTTATTTGAAATATTTGAACTATATGAGTGGAGGGAGATGTAGTAGCCATTCTTGTTCTCTCTGGATGTCTTTCATTTTAACATGTTTCTTCTTCTGAGAAGGTAGATTTTGTTTCAAGTCTGCTATTTATATGAATCTTATATGATAATTTAATATAATACCAGCTTTAGAATTATATGTAAACATATCCAGTAGGGTTACATTTGAATTCATTTCTCCAGGCATGTATAACTTTTCTCATATCTGAGGATTAAGTATATTTCACCAATAGTGAAGTGCCAGGTAGCTTATATTAAAACTTAAGTTATTCTTCACTCAGAGCAGTACTAAGTACTAGCCGACAGAACTTCTTACAGTGATAGAAATGTGGTCTATCTGCAGTGTTCAGCTTAGTGACCATTAGCTACTTGTAACTATGGAGCACTTGAAATGTGGCTACTGTGATGAGAAGCTGGCTTTTAAATTTAATTTAATTTTGATCAATTAAAATTTGAATTCAAATACCTACATGTGGCTAGTGGCTACTATATTGGACAGTGCAGATTTAGAGAATCACAGCTTGGATTWTGTCACTGAACTTTGAAGGGTTGGTCTCTCAAATAAGTAAGGGCAATCAGAAGGTAGTATAAATCAGGAAAATTGGGATCATTGAAAATTTGGAATGAGTCTTTCCACAGATAATTGGAAGCATGTGCCCTTCTATACAACTGGAATGATGGGAAGGGCCCTTCAGTTTTATCATGTTAAGGCCCCACCTGGACGGACTCTTGTTTGAAGAAGACAGCACAGGGGAGGAGACTGGCCTGATGGGAGATGACGTCCCGGCAGCCACGTTGGGGGACCCAGCTGTAGTCAAAGAGTGGGCTCTTCTGGAAGGGAGAGGATTGGGAGGGCTAGCAATGGCATTCGCCTCTGTAAGGATGAAAGATGAAAAAGAGGACTGCTCATATTGTATTTTCCTCAGAAATCAAATACAAACCAACGATGTCTGAGCAAACCAACCTATGCATCAAAATATTTTGATGAATGGACTAATGTGGTAGATTCTCAACTGGTTACACATTACAATCATTTGGGGAACTTAAAAGTATATAGATGCCCAGGTTCTAGCCCCAAAATGTCTAAATCAGTCAGTCTTGGGTGTGGCCAGGACTTGGAGATATAKTCTTAAAAGCTCTACTCTCTAGCCAGGGTTGAGAATCTTTCATCTAATCCATCAAATTGTATCTTGTTCATCAACTATTACCTGCCAATAATGGCAAGTTAATTATAATAATGTGAGAATTTTGTTCCAAGTAGATTATGTTTGTAGAAGTGCCTTTTAGGTACTTTTAAGTATCTTTTTGGTTTCATCATCTGGTTTTTTTTTTAAAAAAAAGTATATTTAAGTTTTGTTAAGAATGTCTACAATGCTTAAATCACAACTTAAACCAAATGTGTTTTTCCTATGACATTAAAACCTGCAAATCTCCTGTACCTGATTCTTCTTGTTCATTTGTGTCTTGAGGATCAGAACCACTCCGGCCTCGACACTCTTTGTACATTTTGACCTTTCGAGTCGCCATCTCGTCATCAGTTGCCTCTCCACTCTCACCCTGGGAACACAAAGATCAGATGGCTCCTGGCCCGTTTTTCCCTCCCTCCACAGCTGCTGTTTGGGCAGGGCTCTATTCTAACCCACTCTCCTTCGAAACTCCCTCCCCCAGCTGAGGCCAGGAAAGACCCGTTAAGGCTGACCACGTGTCCTCCTGACGTGCTGCCCAGTTTGTTCTTCATTGCAAGGCAGCTAACAGAGGGAGGCTGAAAAGAGGAGGCATATGAGCCCTGGAATCTCTGTGTACAGACACAATTGTGAAGCAGATAAAGGTCTGCTGCTTATCAACAGCCTCATGTATGTAAAAAAGGACCTTTTTTTTTTTTTTTTTTTAGATAGTCACGAAGCAAATATGCTATCATGTTACAGTSGTAATATATGATTTATAGTATATTGTGAAAATATATCTTAGGTAGTGTTCCACAKACAGCATTATGGCCCTCTAGGACCTTCATAATGTGACTCCTGTTCTCTTTTAGCCCTTCCTTGCCCAAYTCAGTACTGATGCTTCAGCTACCCAGAGTGGCATGTGCTTCCCTGAACAAGCTATGACTCCATGCCTCTCTGCTGTCTCATCTGCCAGGGCTGCTGTCCTTTGTATTATTTACTTGGTGAACTCCTACACATCTTTCTAGACCCATCAGTGAACTGCTCTGTGCTGTCTTCTCTGCCTGCCTCTTAGCTCTGTATTTTCCTTCTTGCTGGTCCCATAGCAAAGGATTGGACAGCAACTTAGATTGCACTGTTTTGTTTATGTCTCTGAGTTCTTCTATGGACTTCACCTTTTCCTGGTGTTGGCTTGGTTCCTGGTCCTGGCCTTGGCAGCAAGAGGTATGTGACATTTGTTTTATACCCCATGTGGTCCCCAACTGAAATAACCTAAGGTGATATAGGCCACACAATAATCCTGGAAGATTGAGTATAGAGCTTAAGAAGCAAATAACACTGTACCCTCATGAGGGTTTTCTTCTTTTTCTTGGCGGTGCTTAGGCCCAGGGTGTTGTTTCGCTGCACATTGGGTTTCTCAGCATTCTTTGCTGATGTCCCAGGGCTGGGGTTTCGAGTACTCCATCGTCTGCCACCAAACAACTCCACAGCATGAGCCAAGGTTGGGCCTTCATACCGGCCATCCTCCTAAAAAGAACCACATGCTGAACAAATAAGGAAGGGGCAAGCAATGCAGAAGTAAATGTATTAATGGTTCCTAGCAAATTCCCAGAGGTGGAAAGGCACAGGCGGCCACATAAGAATAATTGACCTGGCCACCCACGTGACTCTGAACTCCCTGCTGAACATTTCATAGGGTTCTCTGCTATCCTGGTCACATCCTGATCAGGTCTGGTGATAYGCTTTAAACCATCAACTGGGATAAAAAAATAATTTGTATCCTGGCTTCAAAACTAACACTGTAGGAGAATTCATTAAGACTTACTTTGCAAATTGATCCTTTGGACGACTTGGTGGTGTGGGGAGTTGAAAATAGGGTGGGGATCTATTTAAGTAAAATTAACTTTTRTTTGTCCACTATTATATCACATCAAGTAGATTCTTACATAATTTGATGCTCAGGGAAGTCTGACTTGAAATAGAGGGGATATGGCCTATGTGAAATTCACTTGGAGGGCCCYGGGGAGGTCCTCAAACAGTTGAGTTGTCATCCTCTTTAGTGATTGAAATCTGAAGATGGATGGAGAGAGCTCATGGGACTTAGAATACCAAGGAGATTGTGATGCTGTGAGCAGCAACACACACTCAAGGGGGAGATAGTGGTTTACAATAGTTACTGCTTGCAAGGCAACTCTGAGCAACATCTTTTAAATGAGTAATGGCAGGGATTTACTTAACTAAACAATGGTCAATGATTCGTTCCATAAGTCAGCAAAATCAGTTAATAAAACCACAAAAAGCCACATCTAAATTAAACACAATATTGCTATTTCACACACTGCATAAAAGGGTTTCTTTAAAATTAATTTCCATGTACTGTCTCTACTTTCTGAAAACTTTTAAGGGTAGTCCTCCTTTACAGTTTCAAGGAAGTGCTTGTTAATAGTGCTTTGCTTTGTTGCAGATCCTATGCAAASAATAAAGAGAATTTGTGTGTGCATGCTTACTCCTTCATCCTAATGTTCAGTGACTATCTGATTTTATGACTTGCTGTGAATACTACCTTCTGAATCCCAGGATGCTAAGTAACTTGGGCAATTGACATAGAAACCTTTAGGTGACCTCTTGTAGTGGGACATCTGTACTTATGTCTGTCCATTATCCACTTCCCTCTTCTCCAGCTATTTCCCAATTWTATTTTATCTCTTTTCCATTGAATATAATCTCAAAGTGGAATAGCCTCCCTYGACCAATGATTGGTGCATGGTCCAAATAAACCAATCAGAATCTTTTTCCCTGGGATGAGATTCCTGAATGCAGCAATACAGGGGATGGAGATCATTCCACTTGATTCAGGCCTGCTGAAGAGAGCCCTGCTGAAAGTCACTAAGAGTGACTCCAAACTGGGATGAACATTTCATGACACACTTTAGCAAATAGTTTTTAACTGCTTAATGAATAATAYACAGTTGAAAGAAGTTTTGTTAAGCCTTTACCTATGCATTTTTAGCCTACACATCTTTRAATTTTCAATAGATCTGTTACAGTTTACACATAAAAGAATTAGCCCTATTAGCTTCTGCTGTTTTGGGTTTTCTAATTTCAGAACATCCCAACATGGACCAAAATTTACCCTTCAAAATATTAGGCCAGAAATAGGCAGGGTACCTTTTTTTTTTTTAATATTTTAAGGAAGCTTTCTGGGAACTAAAATGCAGTTTGAATCTTTTGCTTTTTTAAGACAATAACCTCTTGTTTGGGTAAAGGATATATCTTCTTCCTTACTGTGTGAGGAGGACTGTTGAGTGTGAAGGCACTTTCTCAGATTTAGAAAAGAGTTCATGTGAAAAAGACTAGAGAATTGATTCCTTTTAATATACCCACACACTTTTACCTCTTGGCATATCTTTCATATGACATTTTGAACACTGTTAAACTAATCTATACCTCCATAGATTGTGAGAATCTGTTTCTGTTGATTACAACCAAAGATGTTTACCTGATAATCCTGTATTTACCTCTTGCAGCTTTCCGAAGCCCCTTCCAAATACCCTCAAAATAATCCGCTCTCAGCAATGCCCAGGATAACTTGAAGCCAGAGCTCATATGTTAGTTTATCTTTCATAATTAACATCAATGTTTCTGGATAGTTTACTGTCCTTTATTTTCATGTTTTCTCCTCCAATGCTGGAAAGATTATTTTTATTGCCTATATAAACATTTCCCAAACCGGGGATAAAGAAATGCTCTTCTAGGACTATTARCAGAGGTTTGGAAAAATCCAAGAGATTTCTCAAAAATGTCTTCAACTTATAGGTAGATATTGAAATAGTTTATTTTATTTTTTTTGTACTAGGACACATTAGAGCACTTTATGGGCTAACGTGTATTATAAATAATTTTAACATTATGCTAATGCTACATAGCACAGTCRGTTTTAGTTAATCAGCTAAAATGGAAACTAAAATATCTGCTTCCTGTGTGTTCCCCGGGGAGCTTTCAGTGTGGTTGGCTACTTGGAAGAAAGGTCTTCAGGGGCTCTTATGAGAATTGATTTTTAATTAGGATTATTCTTCTGCCTTGTAGAGTCAGGAAAAATCCATCATCCATGGACATTTAACATTTAACAAAAGATCCATTTGGCCTTTTGCTCTTTAAGTAGCAAAACCATTTGACTGTCCCTGAGACAATTTGGGAAACTGGTGTACATTAGTCTATATTGGTCTGTTGGCCTTTTCCACGTTTTTCTTCTGGAAGAAACTTTGTCTATTTTCAAGGCATGGCGCCTGTCTTCTTAAGTGACTCCTGTAGCATGATCTCTGAGGAAGAATTTCCACATTTCTTAAGTGACAGAGATACATGGAACTATCTGGCTTCTACCCTGCAGTGTCTTAGTTCCTGTGGAGGATGGGGGCAGGGCTCTGTTTGCAGTGTTAGACTGGGGCTTCTCTTGGTCCCTTCTGTCTCTGCTCCAATGGCACTTTTTACCTCTTCATCTGCTGTCCTTGGTTTTAGCTTGTGCCTCCTTCAGCAAAAGCTGAAGGCTGCAGGGGTAAATGAGAAAGCAGTCCATTTTATGCATGATTTATCATGAATCCAGTTACTTATGCTATCATCTTGAGAAGAAAACAGATGGAGAAACTAAAGCACTTTGTGCTTTGTGACCGGGGTTGTAATTAAGCTCAAAGACTGACTTATATCTATGTTTGATAGTTTTTTTCCCTTGACTCTGCAAGGTTGAGGAATAATCCCAATTAAAAATCAGTACTCATAATAATCCCTGAAGACCTTTTTCCAAATAGTTCACAGGCACTGAAAGCTTCCCGTACAACACACAGGAAGCAGGTATTTTGGTTTCCATTATAGATGAGTTAACTAAAACTGGTTTTGTGTGAAGTAGCATCAGCATATATGAACATATAGGTCTCTCTGTTTACTAATTAATTAATCAAATTAGTTATTCAGGATATGATCTCTGTTTATAATCACTCATGGGTGTGGATAAAGTAGAAAGAAGGGATATTATATGTGTCTCTGCTAATTTCCTAGGAGGAAAAATGTTTTGTGAATCATTTTATAGATGAAGTCATCCATGTGAGTAATTTTAGTCATAATTCTAATTGTCCTATGATACTAATAAGAAAAGACATTTTCCCCATCAAGACAGAAAAKCATAATAAATTAAAACTGAATACTTTGATATGATCAAATTGACAATGCCATTTCAACAGTGCCACCTTATGGGAGGATTTATGACTCATTTTCTCAGCAATCTACCCTCTCCTTCCTTGACAAGCATGATACTCTAGTTAACGCTGGTGTCTCTCCTCACCATCTCATTTAGCCCAGGCCTGTCACCACTCTAAGCTGGAGTGTTGAAGGACCTGACAACTTAGGGTTAATGAAAAACTCAATTTAAGCAGCTGGTTTTAGAAAATTGCCTGCTAAGGGCTATTGTCACTGTAAACCTAGTGAGCATGAACTTCAGGTAAGAATGATCACACATTTGGGAGGCTTTCTTTTAAACTCAAAAGTTCTTCAATTAGGCAGCAATCCAATAAGGAAAGTAGCTCTCCAAGAGCCACACAGCTCACTAGGCAATGAATCAGGATTTCAGTTTCCAAAGGGGAGGTTTCCAATGTATCAGCTATTCTCTAATTAATAATAAAATCATTCAGATTACAACATTTTTGACTGAAACCCTGAGTCAGTGAAATTGTTTGTGCTAACTGGCTTTTTTTTCTAGATTAAAAAACTATAGTAAGCATAATCACTATTATATACAAAACAATAACAGGGCCTACCATGAGCAGACACTGTTCCTTACACATTTTAATTTACATTGTAGCTTTACACATATTAACTCAGTTCTCAAAGGTAGACAACAGKTACTATCATTTCCATTTTATAGATAAGAGAACTGTGGTACCAAGAGGTGAAGTAAAAAATGCACAAGGTCACAGAGGTGGTAAGTGGCAGAACTGGGAACCTGGTGGTCTAATTGCCAATTGCCTGCTCTTGAGGATGACCGGCTCCGGAGTGAGGAATGGCTGCACCCCTTACCTGATAGAGGCTCACATACTGTTTCCGCAGCCACTGCTGTCTTTGGTCGGGGAACCTCCTCATCTTTCTCACGGCTCTAGTGAGTTCCAACAGTCCACTGAAGAGCATTTTAGCTGTGTGCTTTGGTGCCACAAAGTGCAATAGTCTATTGTCCGTGGTTTGAAGCCCATAGAGAAGTGTCACACCAGTCTCTGACAGAAGCATGCTACCCAGTTTGTTCTGAACACACACAGTGTGTATATCAATGCTAGGGTGTCCCATGTACACCGCCTTTGCTGAAAACAGATCTAAGACCCCCTCCACCAGGCCACTCAATACAGTATTGCCCAGTAGCGGGAATTTCCCGGGCTCAACGGTGTTACTGAGCGCACTGAGTTTTGCCTTAGTGCTGGCTGGGGAGGCGGTGGTGGGCTTTGTCCAGGTCAAAGTGCTATTGTCAGGCTGAAGCTGGAGGAAGCAGCGGGCAGAGAGGTGTGTGTCCTGATCGTAGTGGATGACCGTGGCCCCCTGAAGCAGGAACTGATGCACATCAGCTTGGATGGACAGCACATACCAGGGGATGAGCTCCGTCCCATGGGCAAAGGCCTTCTGTGACTCCTCTGATCCATGAGGATCACATTCTTTGGTTTGCTCAAAGATGTCATTTTCTGAGTCCAGCAAATCTCCAATTATAAACCTGATGGAAAAGAGACACAAATTTGGTGTGTCTTATAATCAGAAGGGGACCAATCTCAAGCCTTTTACTCATACTGGACTTCATATTTCATCCTACTATAAATTAAAATAGAAAATAGAAAATGCTAAATGTCACTGGGTAATTTTTTTAGAATGGCATTCTAAAATCTTACATTTAGCAGGGTGTCTGATCATAGGCCTAAGAAAGGAACTAGTAGAGGCATTATTATATTTTTATTATCAACAACCGTAATCTTGATTATATACTAGTTTTTCCTCTTGTGTCAGGAACAATGTTAAAAACTTTATGAATATTTTTGCATTAAATCTRTTCTACTTATGAAGTAAGTTTTATTTATTTTGTTTTATCTGTGGGGGAAAAAAAACAAGGTTCAGAAAGAGAAAGCTGAGGTTACCCAGCTTGGAAAAGGCCTAATCAAGGTGAGATTCTGCTCTGTCTACACTCACCTATAACCTGGGATTGAGTAGGTTTATTTGCCTTCCAGTTAAATCACAAACAAAAATCATGACCTGAATATATTTGTGCTAAAATAGGGGCAAATAGAAAATAAAATGAGTTTCTTGGGGAAATATGGTCACGGTGGTCAGTTATGCAAGGATAGTTCTCCTTCACTGAAACTTAGATGTTCATTCTGTGTATATATGTGCGTGTGCAAGCACGCACATGCACACAAACATAAAAGCCTTGTCTAGCCAGGTGAGATGGTGCATGCCTGTAATCTCAGTGACTCAAGAGGCTGACGCAGGAGGATTGCAAGTTCAAAGCCAGCCTCAGCAATTTTGTGAGGGCATAAGCAACTTAGTGAGACTCTGCCTCAAAAATAAACGGGCTGGTGATGTGGTTAAGTGCCCCTGAGTTCAATCCCTGGTACCAAAAACAAAACAAAACCCTTGGTCTACTTGGGAAGTTTAGCAAGTTCCCTTCCCTGGATCAGGAGCATGGATTATAAGGTGGAACTGGGGAAAGGCAAGAGACACCTTATTGCCTATATTCTATCTGGCCACCTTAGCAGGAACTTGCCAATACTGTAAGAAGTTATAAGTAAGATCAAGGTTTCTTCTACTCTTTGGTTCACAGACATTACCAGCAGAGTGTTGGACAAAACTGTGAAGGAGCTGATCCACAGGTGTCTGGGAAGGAAGGTTCTCATTGTCTTGAGGCACTTGGGAGCCTACTGCCTCTGGCAAGAAATGAGCAACATCACTAGGTTTTCTGAAGTTCTTTTTCTTGAAGAATGGCAGTAGAATCCAAGATCTGGGGGCTGGTGCAAATACATTATATTTTGTGCATTTTTCTTACTTTACATTTCATGAGAAAAGAATGAAAATCCTGCTTGTACAATATAGCTCCACTCCTCTGAATCAGCTCTTGGTAACATAACACCGCTTATGTTCACCTCCACGATCGCTTCATACTTCGTGTACTGGTTAGGAACATGCCCTCTGTAGTCACCTGGGCTTCATGTTCAACTCTACCAACTGTTTGCTGTGTGACTTGGTCAAAACATTTGAACTCTCTGGGCCTTATTTCACTTATCTGTTAAATGGCAAAAATACAATGCTCATCTCATGGAGCAAGAGTAGAGATGGAATAAGATGACCCTTGGAAAACAGCACAGAGCTGGCTCGGTAAAGTGCACCACTATAATTAAATGTCAGAAGACCAGTGTTCATTCCTTCCACTTCTCCCCCACTTCTCATGACTAAATCAGCCCAGCTGTTCCCCTAAAGGGGCTTTCTTCGGAGGCCACTGCCAAGTTTTTTCGTTTGGGACCATTTCCACATTCTCCAGGTCACACTTTTTTTTKKTKKTKKTYYTTTTTTTTTTTTTTAAGAGCAAAAATTAGATTCAGTTGGTGAGTATCAACAGTGATTTAAACACAACCTATGTTCATTTCGACAGAGAACTTCTGATTTCAATTTAGCAAGAGAAATAATGTTTCCCATATTTCATTTAAGTTCTGAGAGAAATCAGGGATTTTTTTTTTCTGTGAAAAACTAGACATTATGAAAAATAGTGTCTGGATGACAAATTAGATGGCTTCTCTGGAGCCTGCTTCTGCCTTCAGAGATGAGGTAAACCGGCAGAGAGGGGACAGCGTCTTTCTTGGGGTCAGTTTTTATTTCAGAATGCAAAAGAGAACTAATGCCAGATGGTAATGATTCCATTAAAGAGCATGCTTCCAGGGACTAATTTCCAAAATAAAATTGACAATTGTTTGCCATGAAATAAGTTCATTTCAAGCAGGAAACTAGTAGTATTTTTTTTTTTATTGGTCTCCTGGATGATGGAGTGAATTTTGTGCAGTTTTATGTCTGATTCTCTCTGAAGACAATTTTCTGTGGGTCTACAAGGAATAATGTAGAACCTTATGATCTGTTTAGAAACCAAATAATGTTGGCCAAAGATAAAAGACGTGGTTGGTCAGCGAAGAAACAACCTTGTCACTCTTAGGTCATATGCATTAGGGAAAAGACCAAGGAGTGAAAATAGAGTAGTTTTTATCTTACTTCTCAGGACTTCCATAGCGTTCTCYAGTTAGGAACCATAAATTAACAGCCAAACACTTTTCTAACGTTCTTCAATGAAAATCTCATACTAGGTGTCAAAGGGCTATTTGCCAACCTGGTTCTATATTTTCTTTGTAAGTGTTCATTACTTTCTACAAATTCAAAATCATTGCTTGGACATGAATCATAAGCCTAAATTTTATGTTTTAAGTTAGAAAAAAATCACCTTTTTCAAATGAYCTGATAATAAGTAATAAAAATCTAGTGTTTCTAAAGCTATTTTTTTTTTCTGGAAAGTTCTAGCATTTAATTAACCCAGCCCCTTTCTGAACTACAGGAAGTCTCTAAAATTATATCTGGGTAGTACGTGGACTTCACAGTCAGCTAGCCTGAATTTGAATCCTGATCTTGTGAGATCCTGAGTAAAAGAAAAATGTTATGAAGATAAAATAAGTTAATATATGTAAAGTGTTTAGGCCAGAGTTTGCTGAAAACTAGGATCTCAATAAATATTAGCACAATGTATATGGCTAATATTATTATTGCCTGGATTGTATCTACAAAGTCAATATTATAGAACAAAAGCACTTGCACACAAACAACTTCTCTTGAAAATGATGTTCAGTTTTAAAATTGTGATTCAAAAGACAAATTAACCTATACTGTTACTCAGCAGGAAAATGACTCTTTTTTATCACAGAAACAGATTGTGCTCAGGTATTGGCAAAAGAGACAGGAAGAGAGAGAAACAGAGGGTCCCATGTGTCCCCAGCAAAGCTCAGGAGAGAGATCATGTTAAGGTCCAGCCTGGGCTGAAGCAGTCAGCTGTATACAAAGGATGTTGTGTAGTGGGTGGTTGCAAAGTTGGGATCTGGTTGCTTGCAAAGTTCTACTCCATCTCTTTTGGAGAATAAATGATTAGCTTGGTATCATTGTCTTAGTTTTGGGCATCGATGTGTATGCCTGTGTGTGTATGGTTAATCCTGGTAACTATTTTCTCAGATACCCAACTTTCCTATGCTTAGCTTTCTTATTTTCCATCACTATGAGGTCAGATTATCTTTCAGGCAAGTCTCTAAGAGGTTTTGGAGTAAGAGGATGCAGAACACAGCTATCTCCAGTAAGGGAGAGGAGTGTCACTGAGGGGTGCTCCTGCAATATGGCCACATGTTCGCACCCCCAAAGCTTCAGCTTGGCATTTGGAGGACGGGATGACGGACATTAATCACAACAGCCACCGTTTCCATGGCACTTATGACGCTGTTCACTTTGCTGGATTTACATGCACTGTCTCACATAATCCTCATGTCAACCCTCTCAAGGAGTATTATAATCTCCATTTTATGGATGACAAAAGAGAGGCTGAGTGAGGTTAAGTTGACCCACCCATGTGACACAAACAGAAAGACTCAGTCAAAACAGTCCCAGGCAATGTGACTGCAAGCTTTGAACCCTTGACCAGTTCCAGCGGCCTTCATTCAAAGGGTTTGTCTGAATTTATTCTCCTCTGACATCCCATTTCTCCAAACGTATGAGTCCTTCTTGAGGGTCAGCAGTGCTGAAAATGGTGAGAATGAGAACTCGCAGCACCTGTCTGACCCAACACCCTCTCTCCACACTTTGATATTTTTCATTTCCATGTTTCCCAATGGGCTTACCTACTACCCATCTGTCTCCATGACTTACACATACAGAGACATAGCTAATTTACTCTTTGTGCTGGTAGATTAAAAAAAAAAATGTTACTAGAAGTGAGCTTTGCAGCCACAGAAATATAACTGGGATGCCTTTAGAATTCAGGAGTTCCTGACYCACATATGAAACTAGGTATGAAAAGAAGTTGAAGGGTAGCCCCTCTTCTGTTCAAAGAAACACCTTAATTACTGTGGGACAAAGGGTCCTGCCCTGTGATTGAGCACATGGTCAGACTTGTGGACCACGTCTGCTATTTGTTACGTAGGCAAGGGACTTCAGCTTTCTGAGCACAACTTTTTCATCTGTAGAGTTTAGCCAAGCTTACCTTCAAATTCATTGACACTATGAGACTCTCTGAACTCTATTACTGTTGAGATCTTGAACTTTCTCTGATCACTTTTCTGGGGTTTCTGGGAGGACTTGAAGCAGGTTTTCTGGCAGGACTCTGGTAGCTAAGAGTCTGGAAGGAATCATACCCCAACCCTTCCTGCAGCCTGCATGAGCTACAGGGCCATGCTATGCTTATCGTTTCTTTCTTCGAAATAATTTTCACATAGCTGGTGGCTGCCACATGAACAGGGGCCGGAGATTATCTTTGTCTTCATTTCAGTCAAATCAATGAGGCAGAGTTCTTCTGGCTTTTTGAGATCTGCTTGCCACATACTGTCCTGCACTGGACATTGTAACGTAGGGCTATGAATCAAGAATGGATTCCCAGGCAGAGGCAGGTGGTCATAGAAATAGTGCTTGCTGATCTGACTTCAGGGAATTCCATTAAACACCCCCCCCTCCTCCTCTTGTGTGTGACCAGAAGTTCCTTTCAGAGAGGTAGACTTTCGGGATAAGGAAACAATTATTGGTACTTAGGTATAAAGATCTCAAAATGAGGATATGAACGTGACTTTATAGGTTTCGCAAAATAAATATTTGCATTTTTTTCACCCTTCTAAGAGTGCTTACAGCAGGGTCTGGAAAATGGGCAGTGGAAGAGCATGTTCTTGGGATGCAGATGAGAAAATGATTAGGACAAGGGAATAAGCAGAAAATTGAAAGTAAAAAGATTAATGAGAGTGATAGAATCATGGAAGAAATTTATCACTTGAAGGAAGCCCAGAGTACAGCAAAGGAGGGTAAAAAGAAAGCTGAGTCTCTGGGACTCAATCAAAGGGGCRTTCCTGAAAGTATTTTAGGAAGCTGATATCTTTACATAACACCCTATCCTATATGAAGGCTTCTATAAAAGGGTATCATGTGAAATTCATTATTTAATCTAGCCAGAGATGATGTATTCTTTTTTTTTTTTTGGAGGTGGGTATTGGGGATCAAACTCAGGGGCGCTCAACCACTGAGCGACATCCCCACCTCTATTTTRTATTTTATTTAGAGACAGGGTCTCATTGAGTTGCTTGGTGACTTGCTGTTGCTGAGGCTGGCTTTGAACTCATGATCCTCCTGTCTCAGCCTTCTGAGCTGCTGGGATTACAGGCATGTAACACTGTGCCTRGCAGGGATGATGTATTCTTCAGAGTAGGACCTGAGGATGGAATTTAGTCAGATCTTACCCTGAGAAGAAGGCATGCTTCTTCCAAGCAACTGTTTGATTTTTCTTACAAATACTTGTGAACTTTGTAATGAATTAGGATTCCCTTTTTCCTTTGGCCACTAAGAATATTGAAACAAAATTCAGTCATTGTACAGACAATATAATGTACATTTTTGTATGTTTTATTTTTCTTATCATTATTTTACTTCCCTTTAATATCAAATATTCATATTTATTCTTACAAATGCCTAAAATCTTTTGTGGAAACAGCTGGATGGTCACATAGATACCTATATAGAGAGATGGGCAGATATTATAGGCATAGACTAAGGACTTAAATGGTGATGAGATGCTTCCTGTGCAGATGTGCTGCTCTGCAGATGGTCTTCTTTCTATGCATAGATTGCCACTAATGTCAGCAACTTGTCACTGAGAGGACATTCAAATGTTCTCTGAGCTGTGATAAATTCAAACAATAACAAAAATGGTATATGAGATCTGCGAGCTATTTAAACACTAGGGCAGTAACAGTTAATCTTGGAGCACTAGTCCCTCTGAGGGAACGAGCTAGGGARGGAGGTCTGGAAGAAAGCCCAAAGGACTTAGAGAAATCTGGAAATTATATTTATTTCCTTAAAACATAATAGCATTAGAATTTCAGACTCAAGATGTTTATTTCTGTATTGACAATCAAGTTTAAGAATTAGGGCAACCAAAGAAATTACTTTCTGAAAACACGATTTGTCCTTCCCAGTGAAAGTACATGCAAAACACACACACACACACACACACACACACACACACACACACAGAGCAATGGCTTACAAACCCACATACACATGTATGTAGACTCCAGGATGATGGCAGGGTCATGAGTATTGATCACAAACAAAGCCTTTGACGGCAAACATGTCAAAGTTAGTAGACCTAATGATTTTGTGTAGCTTGATAGGGTTCTTCCCCGGGCCAGCCTCTGCCATTGAGGTTAGGCTTAACCATGTGTAAAAGACTTTGAAGAAAGGCAAAGGATGCCCAACCCACTGATTTCTGTGTTTCTTTTGGCTGTGGGTAAGCAGGTCTGGCTGGGCTGCAGTGCTCACTGATAAACAGTAAGAACAATTATGAAGCATCAGATCCCTTGAATGAGTAGGGCTGATGTTAAAACACCTCRTGGAGCAGTGTTTCTCAACTTCAGGGAGCCTTGAACTCCTGACTTAGAATCATCCAGAGGTTGGGCAGAGCTGCTAAAAGAACTGGTTTCTGGGTATCACCCCAGACCTACCAAAGTATTTTTTAAATTAAAGATATCCARCTCAGCACCCTGTCCAAGGATTAAAAACCACTGCTACGGAAACTGTGAAATGAATAAAAGATCATGTTTATACTTCTGAAATTTAATTTGCTGAATTTTTAAAAATGGCAGGATAGCCCTAGTGTTTTTTTTTTGAAAGCAGTAACAGGTACCCTATTAATACTTATGATTTTTAACGTTTTTATGTATCAGTTAAAAAATAAACTGAAGAAATGCTCAGTCCCCCTTTGCCATATGAAAAACTTACTGCCATCGGCTTTTCTCCTTCAGGGAGTTTTTCCTAGAGCTGTCCCCTTCACTGGCACTGTCCTCCTCCTCTGTCTCCAGACTTCGACTGCAGCTTCTGATGATCTGAAAGATACTGTTGACGGTGGACTCCTTCTCCGAATTCYTTAAGCCATTTTGTCCCACTCGTTGCAAGAAATTATCTTGTCCACTGTAATCTGCTACAAACTGCGGAAAAATATATGGAGAGTTTTCTATTGCAACTTAATATAATACGTCCGAATAACCTACTTGGCTAGGGAAAGGAAATCATAATAGCAATAAATAACAGCATTTGTGCCTATTTTATTGGAAAGAAAACAAGAACCTCCAGGAAAAACATTTTTTCATTTCACCACGTGAAATATCAAAACTCAAATTTGTTTCCACTGAGACAACTTTAGTCCCTGCAGGAGTCAACACTCCATTCGGATTTAAAACACAAAAAGCAATATTATTTCAGAGCTCCCTAGGGAGAAGGTTAGCCACTTTACAGAGGAAGGGCAGAGTTAAGGATAAAATACCCTTGTACGGAGCATCGAGGAACACCATGATGAAAGCCTACCATGCTACGAAACCAGATGAAATGAAGGGGGTCCAAGGAAAACATGAAGAAATGGTGCCTTTTAAYTTTATTATTCATACATCCACTGGTGGGACAGTGACCCCTGGGTGCTTTTTCTTTTTTTCCCCTTTCTTTGGGTACTGGGGATTGAACTCAGGACTCAGTGGCACTGATCACAGAGCCACATCCTCAGTCCTATTTTCTATTTTATTTAGAGGCAGGATCTCACTGTGTTGCTTAGCRCCTCATTTTTGCTGAGGCAGGCTTTGAACTCACGATCCTCCTGTCTCAGCCTCCCGAGCYGCTAGGATTACAGGTGTGTGTAGCATCTGGCTCCCTGGGTGGCTTTAAAGCTCTCCTTTTTTTATAATTTTTTTTTTAGAGAGAGAGAATTTTTAATATTTATTTTTTAGTTCTCAGCGGACATAATATCTTTGTTTGTATGTGGTGCTGAGGATCGAACCTGGGCCGCACGTGTGCCAGGCGAGTGCACTACCGCTTGAGCCACATCCCCAGCCCCGGTTTTAAAGCTCTTAATATCTGTTTTCTGATAAGAAAGCTTCACTCATCAGAGGTGAGAGCTGCAGCTAGGCCCAGAGATRTGAGTTTCCCTCTTCCTAGGACAGGAGGGGCTGGTGTGGGTGTAGCTTGGCTCACTTTCAGCCTTCTTTATTTCTTGCACTTGTAACACAGGTGATAAACCTGAGAGCTGTCAGCCAGTGGCATTGCCTGTACCTGCTGGGATAGCTGAGGATGGYGGAGGGGTCTCAAGTCCTTCTGATACAGGATGATGCCAGTATGAGGTTTTTAGCTGTCTTTCCACTCTTACTAGGCTGGGTGTGGATTATAGGTGGTGAATACTGGTACAATGGTGAGAATCACCCTAGATTTGGATTTGGGACTTCCAGATATGAGATTCTCAAAATCTCTGTAAAGTTTTTTTTTTTCTTTTTATCTTTTTAGCCCCTTCTTTCCTTTTAAACACCCCAGAGGGAGATTTTCTTATCTTATTTCTCCAGTTGTTCAATGCCCTCTTTTCCAATGCCCAACACCCAACACCCTGGGACCAGGCTCACACTATCCTCTCCACTACAGGAACAGGAAACAGTGGGCCTGGGAGAAGCGTGGGCAGCAGGGACTGAACCCTGGAGTGCGTCTTTGGATGAGACACCMGCTTTCTGAGCATCTTCCCATGAAGCATGGAGAGAAGGCAGTGTTGACTTGCCCCATTTTTTCTCCCACTGGTTTGGAGAAGGTAACACTTTCCCTTGACCTTCTTTATCCCCTGACTCTAGGCATTCCCACCCAATAAGAAAAACCTGCTGCCTTTAAAATAAAAGCCAGAAATAACACCCTCTTCCACTGGTACTAAAACAGTGTCACATGAAACCTAGCCAACMATAAGGAGCCCCAAACAGTGCCGGTTGGCATTCTTTTCTCCAGAACTTCCTAGAACCTACCTGCTACCCAGAAACAACATAACAAGGACTACTGTGCACTCGGTGTGATGTCTCCATGTGATAGTGGGTACCAACAGGGCTGATGAGTGATAATGCAGTGATAATGGCTCCAAAGAGCACACTGGCTCTGAAAGGCCTCACCTCTAAAGTCTCCTCTTGGGAATTGTACCGCGGGCAAAGCTTCATGAGGCCAGAGGCTCCATCAAGTACTTCACAGAGCTCCTTCAGAAACACCCCACAGAACGGAACCACCTTGCAGCCAGGGATGTGCAGCGCGCGGGTCACCACCTTCCTGTACTCGGAGGAGGACTCGTGCTGAGCCATGGCATCCTTCAGGCTCCTCATGGTCTCGATGTCAGACTGGTCCATGAATTGCCACATCTTTAAAACTTTTCTTGACCTGTTGCAAATAAATGACACTATTTAGACTGAAGGAGAAATAATGGGGCTTACGGCAGATATCCTAAATTCCATACAAATCCATTCTTGTCACCTTCTTCGTGTTCTTTACTTGTTAACATTTATTGAGGATTCTTATCTCCACCTACTTCCCGAAATGGTATGAATATTACTTTTGTAAATTGAAACTCAAAATGAAACAGGACAGATGCAAACAAGGACAGGTTTACGGTGTGAGTTAATTATGGAAGCTGGGCCCTGGATATAAGTTTGAGCTTTTCTGATGGCTACTGCCAAAAGGGAAACATAGTGGGTTATACATAGTTTGTACAGATATTTGTGGAGAATGCCCACAAAAAACTTGCCCTATCTGTWCCTCTTGATCTGAGTCCCTTGATGGTATACATGAAAACTATTGTTTTGATCTCTTTGGAGAATTGCTTTTTACTGAAATTGAGTTTGACATTAAGCCACCTGTCATTTGGCGGGGAGGGGGAGATGGGGTGGAACCCCTGTCTTAGAGTGTTTTTTGCCTTAAAAAGATTTTAATGGATTTTTTTTCCTATTTTGAAATTGCTCCTGAGATCTGCAGGTGACATTGCAGCCCACTTTCTAAACAGAGGTGTCAGGTGGTCACAAGGGAGGGCCCACACTGCTGTGCCCTCAATGGTCTCAGCCTCCTTCTGCCCACACAAAGAAACTGGATTTGAGCAGACAGGGAATACTTCTTTGGAGAAGGTTATGGGATGGCTCACGTGAAAAGGAGGGAAATGATCCCAAGTGTTGGGGACTTCAAGTGAACTCCATGGACATGTTGACCTGTGTCCCGGGAAGTCTGTTCATCACATGTGTGTGACTTTTGCCTCAAGATGAGAGGCTGGCTGGAGCTGCTGACAGCAAAGGGAGAGAGGAGGGTCCAGTGGATGTCCTGCATTTGCASACTTGGGAGGGCAAAATAATGGGTGTCTCCTGTGAGTCCAGAGTGGACATTGTAGGAAAACGTTGGGCCTGAGATGTCTTAAAAGACTTTCCTGCCATGTGAGATGACCCCAGCAGGTGGGGCCTCCAGAGATAGACCCTGGAGAGTGGGGACTAGCAGAGTGGTTGCCCAGAGGGTGTACAGAATTTTTCCAGGTGAAGGAATAGTGGGGGGTCCCAACAGGACAAGGTGGGGGGTTAGAGGACTAACAAGGAGGAAACTCTAAACTCACCCACTTGGGTCTCTGTGAGGGCAGCAAGGACAAACCCCAACTGCTCCACTCCAGTAGGACCTTTTACCCCTCCTCTCCCTTTCTCTCTCCCTCTTCTGTTCTCTCCCCTCCTTTGATTCTGTAGGGACTCTGAGATGAAGGAAGAGGAAGGAAAAGTATGAACCATATCTTGTCACCTACTGCAAGTTTTTGAGAGTGGATGGGCTGTGAAATGTGGGGAAGGAAAGAAACTTTAAATGTATGAGAAATTGCAACTTTAATTCCTACCAGACTGGATTTTAAAAAATCATTATGTGTTATATGAGAGATCCAAAAGACAGAGAAGGATGTGACAAATACTCATRCAACCTCCTCTGGGTTTAAAACCAACATCAACCATAAGGCTGAGGCCCCAGCAGACTCTTCCATGGTCACACATCCCTCATCCCTCTCTTCCTCCAGGAGGGATCAGCACTGGGACTGGGACTCTGGTCTCTGGTGTTTTCATTCCTTAGGATCTTTTTTTTTTTTTTTTTTTTTTGTACTGGGATTGAACCCAGGGATACTTTACCACTGCATTACATTCCCAGTTCTTTTACTTTTTATTTAAAAGGACAGGGTCTTGCTAAGTTGCTGAGGCTGGCCTTGAACTTGCAATCCTTCTGCCTCAGCCTACTAAATTGCTGGGATTACAGGTCTGTGCCACCTTAACAACCTTACAGCTTTTTATACTTTTCTAATATACATATATGTTGCTAAGCAAGTTACAAAATTGTGTATTTTTAACATAACATACATAAATAGTATCATACTATAGGTAATCTTAGACAACCTATTGTATGAGTGTGTGTGTTTCTTTTTTAAATATTTATTTAGTTGTAGATGAACACACAGTATCTTTATTTATTTTTATGTGGTGCTGAGGATTGAACCCAGTGCCTCATACATGCGAGACAAGCACTCTGCCACTGAGCCACAATCCCAGCCCCAATGTGTGTGTGTGTTTAACACAACCTTATATTTCTAAGAATCATACCTGTTCATGAGTGTGGAGAAAGAGACTGCTTATTAACCACAAGAGTGACAGGAAAAGCCACAGAATCTCCCAGTGTATAACCAGGGTCAGGGTAGGGACAGCCAGTGGGGCAGGTTTGAAAGGCAGAAAAATTGGAAAAATAAAATTGTTTTCTGATTTCACCCCACTAAGTCTAGCCAGTCCTACAACTGTTTTTATAAAACAGTGAGTTGTTGTTKTTATTGCTGTTGTTGTTTTTGAAGGAATGAAGTGGAAGCATAAATAAATGGAGAAAATGATTGAATGAGAGGTTATTCTACTATTTAATGATTTCACATTTTGTTAATAATGGATTTGTCAGGGTACACTTGGAGTAAAGGACAAACTTCAGCAAAAATCAATTAGACGGAGAATTGGTACTATTTTATAAATGTTTGTCTTTTTTTTTTTAATTATAAAAGTACTAGATGCTCATTGCAAAAACTAAACAAAATGAAACAAAAGATCACCAAAAAATATAGAAAAATCACCTRTTATTTCATCAAACACAGACACTATAAGGTATACTTCCTTTCAGTATTTATTCTATCTAACTGTCTCATTGTAGAAATAGTGCTAATATTATTAAATAGACAGCTTTGGTCCCAGAGAGTTTTAGTCATATGTTACCTGTTTCSCAGTGATATAAAGCTTTTCATAAGCATCATTTTTTAAAATCAGTTGTAAACATCATTTTTGATAGTTTATCTGGATCATCATATTATTTCCTTTGAGTATTTTCCTATTGTTGTTCATCTGGGTTATTTTAAATTGACAGCACAACTGAGTGAATGTCTTTGATTATAAATTTCTGAACTTCTAATTGTTTCCTTAAAAGAGCTGAGAATTTACAGGAAGCAAAATGTTCAATGTTTATATAGACAATAACAGTCATTGAACAACAAGGGTGTGCCTTCTTCCCATCCAGTTCTTAAAAAATTAAAAATGAAAAACTTCTAGTTATGCTGATGCAGTTAAATTATTTGGAATCCAAACACTCTCAGGCCTTTTGTACACAGGAACCCTGCCTCCACCATCATTCCATCAAGAGAACATTCTGCAACTCATCTCCTACATCTATTGTTCCACGAAAGAGCCAATTATACCCAGTACATTTCCCATCTGTCCATAAAGATCAGTTTAGTGTTAACCCAAGTGTAGGAGCATGGGAGTGGGTGGCAGTGGGTCTGGAGTGTAAGACAAAATGCACAAGGATCAGTGAGGGGTAGCCTGRTTTGAGGTTATTCCTTATCTACTGAGAATCTCCTGGCTGTAAGGCCTTCCTGGATTCCAAATGCAAACTAAGTTGGGTTCACTCTAAGTCTCCAAGGTTCATTCTGAAGCTATTCTTGTATTTAGAGAAACTAAAATTCAGCATGTGGTCTTCAAAAATCCACACCTCCTAGTAGTATGCTCTGGGTGGTCCCCACCCACAGTGACTTAGTGCTGATCCTGGGTGACAAGTACAGTGTGGCAGAAGTGACAGTGGGTCTTCTGAGGCCAGGACATAAAAGGCATAGCAGTTTGTGCCTTGCTCTCTGCAGTGCTCACTCTGGAGGGAGATCACACCATGCTGTGAGCACAGTCACGTTCAAGGGGAGAGGAAAGAGGAGGCGTGGTCTTCAGCCAATAGCCAGCTCCAGCTTGTCAGTGAACTATTTTTTATCATAATATGATTATTTTTCTTAGTATAAATGTAATACAGGTTCTTTTTTTTTTTTTTTGGTACTGGGGATTGAACCCAGGGATACTTAATCACCAAGCCACATCCCCAGCACCCCCTTTTAAAAATTTTATTTAGAGACAGGGTCTTGCTAAGCCTCTTAGGGCCTCGCTAAATTGCTGAAGCTGGCTTTGGACTTGCAATCCTCCTGCCTAGCCTCYTGAGTCGCTGGGATTACAGGCGTGCGTAATTCAGGTTCTTCATAGAAAACTTTTCACAAAAAGAACCAGAGTCATCTGGAAATAGCCTTCTCTTATTCAATATGTGTTCTGTTTTTTCCTTCTTTTGAGCCATGCCAGGTCCAGCTGTATGGCCATTGTAAATTTCATTTCAAATGAGATGATCATTTGAGTTTATTCTTAGGTAAGAAAGTTCAAAAGACAAGAAAAAATTTCCCACTTGGAATTTTCATCTCCTTGCCCAACCTGGAATCTGTGTGTAGGGACCTGGAGAACCAAAGGCAGATCTTGATGTTGTAATGCTATAAGGCAAGATTGACTTATAATGAGAATCCTCACAGGGATGGCAAATCGTGGGAGACAAATTACAACATCACCACTGTCTCTTTATGAAGCTTTACTACATAGCAGGCACATCTACCTTTTGATATTATCCCCATTTTTAGACAGAGAAACTGAGGCTCAGTGGGGTCAAGTGGCTTGCCCAGATCACAGAGCTATTCCTTGGGGAATTGGGTTGGGGGGTGGCAGGAGTTGATTYCCTGTTACTAACTGGACAACTCATGCTCTCCTTCCTCACACGCATGCTGCTTCCCACAGGAGGGCAAGCAGTTATTTTATGTAACATAGCCAAGACTGAAAGGGAAGAAGGTGGGAGACTTTACAATGAGATGGTGGTTTTATTACTAGTTTGATAGAGAAGGCACAGGAGCAAATAGCTCAGTGGTCATGATCATGGGCTCTAAAATCCAGGATGCCTGCACGATGCCCCAGCCATGAATGACTTACCTTCTCTTTAGTTTCCTCTTTTGGTATAATAGGGAACAATAATACTATCAATTTCAAAGAACAGTTTTGAGAATTACAAGATATAAAGAGTGGAATGGACTTAGCTAGTCCAGTGTTTGACATCCCGTGAGTGCTCAATGATTATGAAAGAACCAACATTATTGGAAGCTGTTAGGGTCTGTAAAACAAGTCAAGATGGCGCCTGGCATTTTGCCAGAGGGAGTGGTTTGTGAAGTAACCGCCAGCAAGCCATTAAGTGTGGAGATTCCTTATTGGTTTATGTTAATTGAGATAAGCTGTGTAGAATGTATATATACCCCTCTTGTCCTACAATAAGCGGCTCCCACTCCTGTTGTATCAATGTACACAAGTTGTTCGTCACCCCCCCGGTTATTTTGCTGCAGCCGGACTGTGGCAGGAAGCTTATTGTCAGTATTAGCCATTGTTATTATTAAGGGTCAGTAGTAGTCAGGAGTTTACAATGCTGGGGTAATTCAAGAAGAGCTGAAGGGAGAGGTGACAGTGAGGTTTATGGGCAGGAAGGGGAAGAGAGGGACCAGTGATAGAGTTAATGGGTAATGCAACCAGGTAATTTTACTTAGGCTGGCCAAAGCACATGGGATCAGACCACACACAGTGAAGTGGGATCATGTCTGGCCTACAGCGGCCAAATTCTGCAGCAACTTTGAAGGACAGGACTTGTGGTACTGGAAGGGAATAGTTAGTACACTCCCTAAAATGATCACTACCAACTGGTTTCCTTGGGTAAGTGTGGCTGCCTGGGGAATGAATTCAGTGCTGTTGGCTAGTCAGAGGAAATAGTGCAGATTACCATATTCCTGCTGACTTACCTGAGGCCAGCCAAGAACTCCATGACAGCATTGTAGTTGCCCATGTTCCAGCAGCACTTGGCCACATGCACCAAATATGAGAAGACTTCCCGCTTTTCCTCCATGGAGCCTGCTGTGAGGATCAGCCATGTTACCCAGGAGCTCACCTGGAAGATGCAGGAGGGGCATTCACTGAAACTGTGTCCTGAAGCCAGAAACATATTTTTTTCCACAAGAAAACATTTTTTTTAAATTAAGTTARTATTAATAAAGGAAGGACTTGGCCTAGAGATCTGAAGTGAAAACCAAGCTCCATCACTGCTTTGAAACAGAAACTTGGTGAGTCATTAATGTCTATGTGTATTCATCTTCATCTTTAAGATAAAGAGACTGAAAAGGGCAATTGATAAGATCCCTCTTCAAAGTGCACTAGTGGTATAGTGCTGAGCATAGCTCCCTCCTATAAGATACCTCTATACACTTCCATGAAACTAAAAGAAAATAAGGCTTAAGGATAATTTTGATGGAAATATATGCGATGGACATCAAGACTAGATGTAATCAATGTGCTTAGCATGGATTAAAGATGTTTATCAAGTAGTAAAATACATACTATCAAATGAAAAGAAATTTAGAAAGCTATTTTTGGATAATTTATATATATATCTATATCTATTACTTCAAATGTCAAAATAAAGAGAATAAATATTCACAGAGCACTTTTTATGTGCCAGGAGCCATTGTAAGCATTACCTATATTACCACAATTATCTTTCACAACAATCCTAGGAGTCAAGGACTATTCAGATCCTCAGACCTACTTAAAGGCCTCATCTAGCAGGTGGGAAGGGTGCCTGATTCAGAGYTATATTATTAATCCCCAATAAATGCCCAATGTGTATACATGCATACTAAYGTTCTCCAACTCTGGGATTAAACATATTCTAATAGAGTTTGTTTTTTCTACTACTACAGTCTGGACTAAAAAATTTAGTAATAATTCTCATCTACTTACCTCTTTATGATATACACTCTTGAAATCATTTGCATTAGTTCTAAGATTATTTTATTTATAGTATTCTCCCTATACTTTGGTGTTTGGACCCTAGCGTCCATCTAAGTTAATTTCTCCACCCTGGCTAACATTGAGGTTAATGAATTCAGTTGTCAATAGACTAAAACCTTGGTCTTGACCTCAGATGGCCTCATTAGGCCTCATTTCAGCAATAGTCTGAAACCTGGGGAGCAATTCTTTTCCCCAGCCTGCATGACGGTGAGACCTGAACAGAGACTGCATGGTGACCCAGACGACTACAGGTTGTTCAAGGTCAAGGGCATAATGTCCAAAAGTAGAGGAAAAAAACAGATAAGAATTAATGGCATTTAGCACTGGCAGCAACCATAGAGGGCAGTCGAACCCTATTTTTCCGGATCAAGTATATGGCTCACAGGAGAAGTGACTTTCTGAGGTCACCATTCTTGTTGATGTCAAAACTAGGACTCCCTAGTGCTCCTAACATGCCCCTCTGTTCCCCACCTGCTCTGGATCACACTGGCCCTCAGGCAACAGCGGATCAGATCTGGACTCAGACCTCTAGGAGAAGCCCCACCCAGGTCTCCCCAGGAGCCCTCTAGGATTCCCAGGGCTGACCCTTCTACAGCTATGAGCTACCCCTTGCTCACGGTCTCCATGCCTCGTCTTCTCAACTGGTTAAAAGTCACTTTTGTGAAACTCTGACTCCATTCGGTTAAAAAGAAGTTATTTTGCTGATAGACACTGACTGTCATTGGTGCTACTGTTCAATTTTTCCTTTAGGCTGAATTGCTTTTGACAGGCCCTGCCCTACGGTGCAAAGTCACTTGGGATCATAACATTGTCAATTTTTTTGAGTTGAAGATTCAAACCCTTCTCCCTACAGATATATGTGAGATTCTAAAAAGTTACAATCGTTCCTCAAAGTCATCCAACTGATTACTACTTGAGGCCTCTGGCTATATTCTTTCCATGGCTTTAGAGCCTTTTCTGTTGAAATTCATGGCAAATCAGGATCTCTGCAAAGCCACTGGTATTTCAGGCCATTCTTGTACCATGCAGTGACCGGAAAGGGTTAACTCCCCTCCCCTGGAGAGGCCTGCTTGTAGYGCAGGTGCAGAACACCACTTGGTTTTGGGTCTCCATCCTGATTATGTGTCCAGGTTTATTTCCTATCAGTCAAATCATTTTCCATACACTTTCCCACAATGCTAGGAAAAAAATAGCGATACTATATTTCACATGGAAACCTAATTTAAGCCAACTGTTCCATCGCTGAGTGTGAGTCCCAAGGGCCCCTGGCTGTTGAGATTATGTAAGCACTGTTATCATAAACACCCCCCCCACACACACACACACATACACACACACACGCACGTACACCATCTGCTTACAAACTTCAGGGAAGATTCTTACTATAGCCTAACATAWTCATGATTTTAGAGGAACTAAGTGGTGGGAGTGTCATCAATGAGACAAAATATGAAAAAAATAAATAAGACAAAAAGAAAGAGAAGATTCAGTGACAAATGTCAATAGGATGCGTTGCCAATTCAGAAAGAATTTCAGGAAAACTGGAGTCAAAAAGGAAAACACAAAAAATGTATCAAGATAAAGGACCAAGTCCGTAGTAGAGAGAACGCCCCTAGCTGCTAACTGTGGCAGATTAATTACCTAGTTTCAGTGGTCAACTCAGAACAAGGAGAGAAATCAGGCCCCAGCCTCATTCTTCAAGAGCTCCTCCTAGAAGGCTCTGGCTTCCCAGGATGATCCTAAACCCCGGGACCTGCTCATAGCACCACAATTGCTCTTCTCCCAAGATAATTTTTTTTCTTTTGCTTTTTYCAGTACTTTTAGGCTTAGCCAAACTGAGCACCTTGCTCTCTCTTATCACCTCAAATACCTTATTAGCATCATTGTAGCTCAATTTGGAAGGAATGTTCTTGCACCACTCACAGAGACCTTTCCTTTGAGCTTGAGACCTTATKGGTCCACCGACTGGTACACAAGCCAGGATGGGAAGACAAGGTAGGTGGACAGGCTGGAGCCTCCTGTATACCTGTGCCCTGGCCCCGCTATAAGTAAGGGGCAAGGCTGCCTTCTGGAGTCGGACAAAAGCTTCACTTACTCAAGGGGAACTTCCTTGACTTTCCTTCTGGAATATGTCCTCAAGTTTGCCTGCTGTGGTACCCCATGGCATTCTGAGCTCTGTGCCCAACTGGTGTTGTGCTCCCACGAAGACAGATGTCAGACYTGCTATGCTCACAGGTAGGTAGCAGTGTCTGTGACCCAACAAGATCTGTCCTCTATAAGTCTAATGAGGCCTGTGAATGAGGGAATGAATGATTAAATGCTGAATGCTTACCTCCTCAAGGAAGGCTTTTCTGATGGTTCACCTAGTACCTTACATTCAAATTTCTTCCTCTTCTCTTGGATTTATTGTCATAGCTTGAGTCCAAAGTTACATCTATGCTTGGATTCTCACCACTGCATGAGTGTGCATCTGGCTTATTTTTGTTATATTTGTGTGTTTGACTCTTTCACATGGGCTTGTTCTGTCTCCCTCAGCAGACCCTAAGTTCTCAAGGACAAAGGCCACCTTTCCCACATTTCTCGTATGGGGATGCTCAGTGCCTCAGGCTGACAGGCAGACCATCGAAATCCCAGGAGGCCGTGGGCAGGGAGGATTCTCAGCCTCCAAGAACTCAGGAATTATATTTGGGAAAAAGCCTGAACATTTCCTATTGCTGTTCCCAGGTCCAGAAAAAGGAGACAAATAACTTTATGCCAAAWAAGTTTTTTGAATACACTGAGCCTAAGTTTTCATGGAAAGATGATATTTTATAATGGTTATTGTCAGCCTAATTGCGAAGAATAGGCTCAAATGGTAAATTCTATAAAAGATAATGAAGTCTAGACAAAGCTACATGCAAGTACTTTACATGAAGTGTACATCCACACCCTCCCTGTGTGGACCAAGTTAACCCTTGAACTAGAGCATGCAGGCACAGTCATGAATGCAACACAGTCATGAATGCAAGTACGTAACACACACACACACACACACACACACACACACACACACACACACCTGCCTAGGCAATGCTCAAGTGTGAGCACTCACAGTGGAATCACTGGGGGTGGTCATAAGGTGTTTACTTAAATGCAGATCCCAAAGCCTCACCTAGACCTGGGAGGACAGGGCCTAGGAATCTCCATGTTCAGATAAACTCCCTGGTGATTTTTTTTTTTTTTTTTAGTTATACATAGACACGATATCATTATTGTGTTCATTTATTTTTTTTTTATGTGGTGCTGAGGATTGAACACAGTGCCTCACATGTGCRAGGCAAGCGCTCTGCCACTGAGCCACAATCCCAGCCCCCTGGTGATTCTTAAATGCACTGAAATATGAGATCTAGCCCAGAGACTCTGTATCCCTTTTCTGTATCGTGGGYCCTTGAATCAGGGACCACACACCATTTCTGGAGTCCATACAGTCCAATATTATAAATTGGCCACCCTGGTTTCATCTCACCAACTGGACCTGAGTCCAGGACCCTTTTGGAACTAGGAAGGGAAGCCAAGGGAGGCAGCAGAGAGTAGTGGGGGGGAGCAGGAGCAATGGAGTTGGGTGAACTGTGCTCAAGTCCCCGTTCCACTGTTCCCTTGGGCATGTTCCCGAGGCAAGTCACCTCACTGCTCTGAGCCTCAAGTCCTTTTCAGTAAAAGGGGAATGATATTTACCTCAAAAAATTACAGTGAGATGACATGGGAGATTATATCTGAAGATCTCAACACAGAGCTTAGTAGATGGTTAAGGGCTCCAGGAACATTTACTACGGAGACTATGGCRGCAGCTGCCACCACCACTACTATGACTCTTGTTACCAGAACACAGAAATCCAGAAGAAAGCAGTCTCTGAATTCCACTTGCTTATGAGACAAGGCTGGACCAGCAGAATCTGTGACTGCCCTGAGCACTGTCCTTTCCTAACAGAAGGATAACTCACAGGTTATCTCTCCTGCAGGCTTCCCTGAGTCCTCAGTAGGAATAAAATGTCATTTTAAAAGTTATAATGACCCAAACACATATATGAACATATTTATGTCTCCATCTAGATCTTTATTATC